TAGCACCAATTGAATCGAGACAGTGTACATATCATATATAACAAAATGAACATAATTAGAAATTACATGAAGAAAAGATGAATATATATTCACTCCATCTAAAAATTTCTTGAAAATATGCGGTTAATTAAGGTAGACAATCATATTGGTAATTAGATTCATAATGTATAAATAGTAACAAATGCTTTGTACTCATCAGTTAGTTCATTGGTAACACCATCTCACACAGAAAACGAGCTAAATACTTACGGTATTATAGGGTTTTTATATTTTGTAGTACGTGCATGAAGTTATATGTACTTGCTCCTTGTTATTCCAGATGACCGACAATACAGAGAGGTTTGAGTGAACAGGCAGCTGGTCATCTGATAAAATAACTCCTCACAGATATTTACACGAGTTAATATTTTTTGTCCACAACAGTTTTAAGTAGAAGATTTCGAAGTACACCACTAGTTCTGCTGATTATCTTCAAAGTTCTACACAGTACATAGCATAGTCTTTTTCCAGCAACCAGGAAAAGAATAAACGAGAACAATAGAGGAGAACAGGCAAGATGTAGGAGTTTATAAAACACAAGATGTGGGACTGAGTGATACCAGATACTCTCACCTTCCTAATATCGAAAGTAAGGTGGAAAATTCTTTCAGAAAGCAATTAGATATGGGAAGACTACGAAAGGTCCGAGGGAAGATACTCACCAAGATAAATCACACTTGTAACATTCTCCAATGCTCAACTATCAATAGAACAGGAATTATGAGACCTTAGCAGTTTACGTACGTTATCTTCAAGTCTAAAACTAAAATTTGCAGTCTGACATTTTGAAAAATTGACAACAAGACCAGTCAAGGAGGACCACTGTGTAACAGTAGATAGGAAATCATTCAGTTGGGAACAATCTACTGAAGAGGAGATAGGTATGGAAGGTGTTAGGTCATCGGCATATTTAATGAAATTAATACCAGCTGAAGATGGTAAGTCATGCATAAAGAGTGAAAAAAGACATGGGGAAAGGATGGCTTCCTGGGGTACTCTAGTCACAGTAAGCAATGACGTGGAGCGCTCCCCTCTGTGAATAGTATGTTGTTTCCTTTTAGAGAAATAAGAATGCAGCCAGCTGATTATTAAGGACTCAGTATTTGTCCCAGTTAGGTGAAGATGAGGCTTAGTGCAAATATTCAAGCCATGGGAGAATGAATATATCTGCGCTACACTGAGATCGATTTTCAGCCATGCCAGCAAGAGTCCTCAACCAATGATTCCTTTCGTCTCGAGGACTACAATCATGTAGTTTAAATTTCCCCCCTCCGTTACCTATCCCCAATGATCAGGAACTTCATCGACTGATGTCTGGTCTTGGTCTGACCACCTTAAACCCTCTTCTATCCTAGACCGAAGTTCGGTGGTGTACTACGGTTAAAGAATATAGTGTATGATAAAATATGAAAGAAAAGATTTTGAGGATAAAATGTTCCCATAGATTATACCAATTGCAACTCAAGTGACTGGTTGAATTTCTTTTGAATGTAGAGTTCAGGTTTCAAAATGTTAATTCCTATTGCTTCCGAAGTTTAAAGACGTTTCATATGTACACACCTTTCATCAGGAGTGCATCAATTCTACAAATGATACTGAAATTGCTTGTTTGCATTTACTGGCTAGTGAGATAATCGATAAAATATATGCAAAAATGCGTTTAGAAAGCGACAACAGCTGTCGCCTACGCTCAGTCGGCACTGAAGATCAGGTGGTTAGAAAGAATAAGCAACAAGAAACTCTAGCCTGGCAACGAACCAACCAAGGCACAGACGAGGATGTCAAAACCGGGATCGGAAAGGCAGCAAGACACGCTCTCCTTCATTCATCTAAAATAACTACTGTGGAGATCTACTGCACTCAGCATAAAGCATCACAACATCCGGATTCTCAACACTTAGGTCAAGTCAAGTCAAGTCAGTGCCATGATATGATGGTTGAGAGACTTAGCACGTCACAAAACGCATTTCCGACAAACTACAGACATTCATCAACAGTTGCCACCTAAGCTCCTTTCTAAAGATCAGATGAGAAGGTGAGAAAGAATACGCAACAAGGAACTCTGGCTGGCTGGCTGGCAACGAACCAAGCAAGAACATATCACCCAACAAATATGTAGAAGAATAAAGTGGAGACAGATTGGACACACTGAGAAGACGGTTTGGGGACATCACGAGCCAGGTCAGGCCGCCGAGTGGAACTCAAATGGGAAACGAAAAGTTGGTGTGAGGAAGAAATGAAAGTTTGTGGGCAGTGGTGTAGCCAGATCAAGTTAAGCAAACTGCAGAGAAGTGAGTTAAATGCTGATGTGCTACTGAAGCCCTATGTTCCACTAGGAACATCAGTTGGAGAGCCAGAGTAAACGTGGGATCACTGAGCAGCAATTTCCTTCTAGTATGGAACTCCTCACCAGTATGCACCCACGACCCGGCTAAGGATTGATCTCATCAGTCCACCGTCGCAGTACGAAACAGCTGTCCAGTCTGCTGTTAACTTCGAAAATAAAGGGAGTAATCCTTTTTTCCAGTCTCCTGATTTAGATAAGAAACTGAACTTCATTCAAAAGTATTCCATGAAATATTCCTTTTCTGTTATCATGTGAATGGTATATTTATATATGCAAGTTTGCAGCTTGACAATTATATCATTGAAAAACCAGGCCCTTTGATAAATACTTTTTGTTGAAGATGGTGAAATATGTTACAAAAATTCTTCAACTATTGATATTTCTTTGATCTTAAGAACTCTAACCAAACGATCTATACGACTGGCAGTTCAATAATATAACATTCTTCGGCTAGGATCAACAGAACAACTTTTGTCGAACATCATAAACTGGATCGGATACTTCGGATAAACACATATATCTATCATCAGCTTAACTAATATATGAGATAGTATATGAAACTAGTATAGATACTAGGTGATGATTGAAGGTGAAATGAAAATTTGAGACGCGGTAAGTTTCAAACCAGCGATCATCAGGATTTTCAGTATCAATATTCCTTAAAGAACGGAATTATAAACATATATAAATAGGCTTCATATATAAATTATCATTATTATTATTATTTATTTTTCCCTTGGGTTCCTAATGCAACATAGGTCTGTAGTAGAACCTCTCCATTTCACTTCCCTCTCTGCAATCTTTTGAACCTGGATCCACAACAGCCCACAACCTCTCATTTCTTCCTCACACACAATCTCCTAGATGTCACTCTCGCCTCGGACGCCCAACTCGTCGTTTCACATCTGCGTTCCACTCGAGTGACTAAACTGGAGCGTGATGTCTTCAGTTGACCTTCTCAGTGTATGCCCAATCACTCCCCACTTCCTTCTGCAGATTTCTTCAGCGATAGGTTATTGCTTGATTCGTTGCCAGCCAGCAAGCCAGCCAGCCAGAGTTCCTTGTTGTTTATTATTCTTTCTGGACATCTCACCTTCAGTAACGAGCCAGTGTAAGCACTTCCTCATGAATGTCTGTAGTTTGTTCGAAATGCCTTTCATAACCCGACAAGCCTCTCAACCATCACATAGAAGCACTGACTTGACGCACATTAGTGTTGAAAATCCACATGTTGTTCAGGATTTATGCTGAGTGCACAAGATCTCCACACCGTCTCAGGCTAATGAATGCCCGCCTTGCTGTCTTTTCGATAACGGCTGCTTTGACGTCCTCATCTGTGCACCCACCTGTAGTTGAAACAGTGCTGCCTAGATAGGTGACTAAAACCTCTCGTTGTTGATGCTCTTGTTGGTTGGCTATCTTCATCATCCATGTCTTCTCTACGTTCACTTCAATGGTGTCCCGTCTTCGCTGCCCTGACTCGCCTCTTCTGTCAACTTGATAGTTTTCGCCTGTAGATCTTCGACTTACTGTGATATTAGACATAAGTCATCATCAATAGCGATATCCAAGTCTTCTACGTTCTTCTCATCGGTCAAGAGTATACCCCTCTTCTCGCTTATCACAGTTCCTCTCATGATCCAATCAACTACAATCATGAAGATCACGGGTGATAGTATACAGTCTTTTTCACTCCTTTCAAAACTTCAAAGGCATCACTGAGCTTACCATTGTGAATTACTTGGCCGGCATGTGGCATCTTCATATAGTTGTTGAATGAGGCTGATAAACGTTTGTGGTATTCCGTAGTATTGAAGCAGTTTCCAAATTACTTCTCAGTCGACGCAGTCAAAGGCCTTCTCAAAGTCGATAAACTTGAGGTGAGGTAGAGAGTTGACTGCCATTCTATACTCTCTTCTATGATGATGCGAAGCGTTGCAATTCGGTCCACGCATGACTTCTACTTCCTGAATCCACCCAGCCAGCCAGCCTGTTCGGGTCGTAGTTTTGAATCCAGTGCATTCTTTAGTCTCTCCAGGATGATGAGGTATAATATTTTGCTTCCTATATGTGGACAGGTGAGTGATTCCTCACCAGTTCTTGCAAAGGCTGAGGTCTCCCTTCTTCAGAAGTTTGACAAGGTAACCCTACTTCCAATCAATAACCAGGTACCTTCCCTTCCTTCCACACCTTCTGCAATAGTGGTGTAGTGTGAGCATGTCCCCTGTTGTCCCTGCGTCCGCTCTCAGTGCTTCTGGCGGGATTCCATCTGATTCTGCTGCTTCCCCGCATTTAAGTAGCTTTATGGCACTCAAGACTTCGATTTCCGTCGGCGGGCCTGTGTTTACTCGTAGTTCTATAGCTGCAGGTGGTATTTATGGACGAAGTGCAGGTGGTGGTCGATTCAAGAGGTTCTGAAGTGGTCAGCCCATCGTTTCCTTTGTTTCTCTTCTTTCGTAATTAAATTTACTCCATCATCTTTTATTGGTTTCATCTGTGTTGATTTCTTCCCAGATAGTAACCTGGTTATTTGATACAATGTTGTCAGGTCTCTCTTACCTACAGCCTGTTCTGCTCCACTTGCCAGTGTATCGTAGAAGTGTCTTTTGTCTTACCGTGCACTCTTCTTCACTTCTTTGTCCAATGTAGTGTTTTATACATTGTACTCAGTTCCTCTTCTCATCGTTCATCCTTGCATTGGTTTATCTTCTGCTTCAATAATCGCCTTCAATGTCTGTTCGTGAAAACATGATTCAGTTCTCTTATTGCAAAAATGATATCTTGACTCCAAAAGTGATCTAATTTCTGACTTCTTAAAGACAGGTATTTTAAATTCCTTCAAGAGAATATTCTTCGTAGCAAAAGCCTGAAAGACAAGATCACGTATTTAATCACCTTTATGTGTGTATATCAGTTCATCAGCTTCTATGGAGCGGATCTTATCCAAAAGTGTTCAAGAACACTATCTTACATCACAAAACTTGCCAAAGTCAATGCATATTCGCCTCCTTTGTATTGCTGAAGCTTTAGTAATTCAGATAGAAAAACCAGAGGTCTGTATTCAAAAGAGATATGTTCAACCCTTGATTCTTTCATGGTCTTAATACTCAGGGATTTTAAACGTTTCCCCCCTCTTCCTTCTAACCTTACTTTTATATAAACACGAGAAACACAATGGCTGCATCGTCAGTTATTGGTTTATACATTCACCTTTCACTTTATCTGCAGGAAATCACTACAAATAACACACATACACACACAAAAACATGTAGTTTACCACATAGGTTTAGGATATACACTATCACGTACATGAAAAAATCACCATTCCAAATCTATATAAACCAATGAAAACAACTCACTTCAATAGCTCGCAGTTTTCTCAGATTATCCAACTCTTCAGTTAACAGCTTATGAATAGCTGAACGATGTGAAATCAGCTGATTCCTGTTACTACGCTCTTCATTTGACTTCATTGGCTTATCCAATTTACTACCACTACTACTACTACTACCATCGGTAGATATCAAATCTTTCAATTGTCCAAGTAACAGAGTACACTGTTCAATGAGAACATTAACATTCTCTGTTAACTCAGCGTGTAAACGTTGTTTAATTGGATTGCCTAAAGTACCAGATGTCAATTGATGAATACGCTTTAAATAACTTGATAACACTTGAAGACTTGAATGAAGACTTTTAGCACGTGTTTGAAATGAGAATTCATCATTGCATAATCCTGATGATTTCGTCTGTTCATCTGATTTTCTCTTCTCTGAATTAGATAATTTACAGGTTGGTTGAATCGATGAAACAATAGAGGTGAATAGTTGAGAAATATCACACGACATGATGATGATTGAACATTGAATGTTGATTTCACTATTTCAAACAAACAAAAAAACGATTAACTTTATGAGGTTATCTGAGTAGAAGGATAATACAATTCAATCAGGTACACACTTATCGTTTGAGAGTATTGGATTCAATTCGATTGCCTAGGTCGAAGTAGATGATAGCCATGTCACTAATAGTCCTCAATCACTGATTCCTTTCGTCTCAACGACCTCAACTGGACAGTCCACATCTCCTCGCACGTCTCAAGGCAATAGTCAGGAACCTTATCGACTGATGCCAAGTTTTGGTCCGGCTACCTTGAACCTTTTTCCATCCTGATCCAACTTCCCGTAGCATATGTCGAGGTAGGCGGTGGATGGGCATGCGAAGTACATGTTCAAGCCATCTCAGTCGACTAAGGTGTCTGACTTTCCGAATACTCTTCGCCTAAGTCTAACATAGCTCACACGGTGATTACACCAAACGCGATTGGTTCTACAAAGATATCTGTAATCAAAACCTTGTAAGCGCTTGATGGCTTTTTCTGTTAACGGCCATGTCTCAGCTACATGACAGGACAAAATAAACTGCAGTGTAGTTTCCGCATTCTTTGATAGATAGTCGGATATCTTGTTCGGACTGATGCAACCCTCTAGATAAGTGTTAAGTCGTCAACACATTACACTACCACTTCATTAAACATGCAGTATCTGTAGACCAGTCCCTGAAGCATTATCTTACATTGAACAGGTGTGGAATGTATGTCAAGCATACTTAGATTTCTGCTCAATGCATTCAAAAGACGCGGCATTTTGTCAGCGTCTTCACTTAGCATGCTCAGAAGCAGATAGAGAGGAGACCAAACCTATAGTCCTGTTAAACGTCTGTGTATTTTATACAGGTATTGAAAATGACCTAGTTGAAAACAATTAAAGTTGAAGACAGAAGAAATATAGCTGAGGGAGATCACTGTAGAATAGATTACTGCCAACAATTACCTCGGTAACGATGACATTTACATCAGAAGAGAGCTACTTTTATATAGGCTATCGCATTGTAAATAGTTAGTATGATTCAAGAAATATATTCTAATAACTGTACTGGTGCTCATTGGTGTCTAGCTTCCAGAGGCATTCCCGAAGTTCCAATGACAAGTTGTGACCAGTGGGGGAAAAGCCTGATGGTCGTGGGGACAGTTACTCAAAGATGACATTGGGTAGCGGTTGCGCCATATCGTGAGCTAACACAAGTTGGAAATACGGACCACTGGATTCTGACCACAGTGGCTCAATGGTAACGTGCTGGCCATGGAACCTGAAGGTAGTGGGTTCGATCCCTAGAGTCCAGGGTCGTGGGTGCGCTCTGCTGAGGGGTCCCATACAAGGACGAAACAACTGTGCAGTGCTCCCAGGTTTCCTTTGTTCCTCCAACTAATGTCAGTCTACGATGAACAACAAGTTGAAATATTCTATTGTGATAAATATTTCGTTGATACATCTTAACGGTACTGAATAATAATGATATAACTGAACATCATTCTAAAAGTCAATTCACAATCACACAAGTATATGATTGGTTGTCAGTTTACTACTGCATTGTGTATTGAAACTAACTCGTATTTCGATACTATGACAGGTAGTATGACCTAACAACCGACGAGCGATATGAGCCTAGCAGACTACAAACGATACGAACCTAAGGTGCAAACGAATCGACTCTAAATCATAACTTCAACCATCATCACCACAAAACAGTACCACCAATGAACGAAGACAGATAGTTGACAGTGATGCTGAATATATATACATTTCTAAGTGACCATCCAAATCAACACAGGACCAGGAATTACTGCGTAACGGTCAGACTTGCCACACCTCATATGAGTATATCAAGTAGAAAGGTAGTGAAGTGGAAGATGAAGATAAGAAAATTCAGTTAACAGAAACATAAAGTACTCAAAGAGAGAAAAGAAGAATGAAAAATTGGTGAGATTCGGTATGGCATCGTTAAGATAAGGATAATTTGTATATATCTGCCCTACTCACATCGGTTCTGAGCCGTAATACCTAAAATCAGTCTCCAACCACTGGTTTCTGTTGTTCTGCGGATCCCAACCGGCTAGTCTGTATCGTCATACATTGGCTCAAACCATCAGTGAACGACTTCATACATTGATGCACATGTTTTAGTCTGGCCACCTCAGGCTCTTTTCCAGCCTGAACCTACTTCGGTATAAAAATTACTGAATGATGACGTTTCGGACATAATCGATCGTCCATATTCATATCCGGTGTAACTCTGTAGTTTAATGTTTAAAGCAAAAGGTATAAAGCCTTAGCAGAAACATCATTACATGCTTATATTATCCAATTGAAGAGTTAAAGATAATTCATTGTATAGGATGTATTTTTACTTGTGTAATCCCGGCGTAGTATATTAGAACAAATAACAAAATAAACAAATATTTTGTTTGAAGTGAAGTGAATTCTAACTGAAGACTTTGGATGACAGTCGCGCTATGTCATGAATTGACAGAAGCTGGAAATTGTGAACCACTGGGAACCGACCCAATAGCTGAATAGTTAACGCGTTCGCCGTGAAACCTGAAGGTCCTGAGTTCGACCCCCAGCTGGGTCATGGGTGTGTACTGCTGAGTCTCATACTAGGACGAAACAGCTGTCCAGTGCTCCCAGATTTTCAGTGGTTCCCCAACTGATGTCAGTCCATGATGAATACTACTTCTAAATTAAAAAAATATCCCCATTCATCTCAAAAATGGATTATGTTATGGTTCATCGAATGTATATGACTCAGAGAGTAGTGTAAAATTGATGAAAATAGTAGATCAATAAGGTGTATGTAATAGGACTAGACAATCTACCTTTTCTTCAGATATTATCTATAACTGCCTAGGCGAGTCATTAATGTTTGCCATATTAATGGGATGTCTAACTCATCTTTTCTGTTGACCGAAGAAGGATATGAGCAGATGTGCAAAGCTTCTACAATGGTCCGCTCTTTGTGAGAGAGAAAACCCTTTTGCTGAACTTTTGTCTGTTCGAATGATATTTTATGACCTGAATATAGGGCATGAGCTGCGATAGCAGAGCTTTTTTCAAGTTTTTCTAGATCATAGGAATTTTTTGGTGGTTTTTTGGAACTTTTACCGTGTTCGGCTAAACGTGTTAGTACTTGACGTGATGTCTCTCCAATATATGTGGCATCGCATTCACTGCAGTCTACCTTATAAACACAGTTTTGTTGTTCCAAATGAGGAATCGGATCTTTTAATTTACACAGGTGTGAGTGTAATGTATTCGTCACCTTAAAGAATACTCTGATGTTGTAACGGTTGAGGATAAGTCTTATTTCCTCTGAAGTGGTTGTTCGATAAGGAAGTACTATAGTACTTATCCAATCTGCACGGCTTGACTTTTTCATACTTTTGTTCGATAAACTTTTTCCGATCCTCTTTAATAGTTTATCTGGATAGTTATTTTGTCTTAAAACTTCCCGAACAAGTCACCTATCTGCTTGCTGAGATTCCACTTTATTTGGTATCCTTTGCGATCTCGTCAACAGATTTTTGGCAACGTTTAATTTAGTTTCCAATTGATGAACCGAATCGAAGTCAAGGTACTTGTTAGAATGTGTATCTTTTCGACAGACATCAATGTCATGTGTCCCATCACTGTTTCATATCGCCTTGCAGTCTAGGAAAGCTAACGTTCTGAATTCTGTTTCTAGTTCACATGTGAATTTTACAGAATTGAAACGGTTGTTTAGATATTCAAAAAGACTTTCTTATCCTTGCTTTTTGGTTATGACGAAGGTGTCATTAACATAAATCCACCATACTCTTGGTTTTAAATTATGTTAGTTAAGTAGGTCTGATTCTAATTTGTGCATGTATAGATTAGCTACAATGGATGAGACAGGTGAACCCATTGCTACCCCATCGGTTTGACGAGAAAGGTCCCCTCGAAAAGTAAAATAGGTTGAGGTCAGACATAATCTCAGTGCATCACAGATTTCACTGATGGAAATAATAATAATACATTCGCTTTATTCCAAACCACAATTTTTTTTTACAGTACATGATTCCTAGATATAAACAATAGAGCGGTTTAGTAATACATCATTATTAGGCCGCATCATCCTGGAGAGACTAAAGAATACACTGGATTCAAAACTACGACCCGAACAGGCTGGCTGTCTGGATTCAGGAAGTACAAATCATGTGCAGACCAAACTGCAACGCCACACTACGCATCATCTTAGAACAGAGCATAGAATGGCAATCAGCTATCTACCTCAACTTTATCGACTTTGAGAAGGCCTTTGACAGCGTCGACCGACAAGTAATTTGGCAGTTGCTTCAACTTTACGGAATACCTCAAACCTTTATCCGCCTCATTCAACAACTATATGAAGATGCCACATGCCGGCCAAGTAATTCAAAATGGGAAGCTCAGTGATGCTTTTGAAGTGAAGACAGGAGTAGGAGTGAAACAAGGTTGTCTACTATCCTCCATGATACTCCTGATTGTGGTCGACTTGATCATGCAGCAAACAGTGGGGAGCGAGAAGAGGGGGGATACGCTGGCTAGACTACTGAAAAGAACCTAGAAGATCTGGATTTCGCCGATGACTTGTGTCTCATGTCACACAAACTTGAAGATCTACAGGCGAAAACTAACAAGTTGGCAGAAGAGGCAGCGAAGACCGGACTTCCTTCAGGTGAATATAGAGGAGACATGGGTGATGAAGATACCGCACTAACAACTCCAACAACAACAACAACAACAGGCTCTAATCACCATCAACGGGAGAAACTTAAAGGAAGTAACCTCCTTCACCTATCTAGGCAGCACTGTCTCAACTACAGGCGGGACAGATGAGGATGTCAAAGTCAGAATCTGAAAAGCAAGACAGGCGATCATTAGCCTGAAACCAGTGTGGATATCTTCTGCACTGTACTCAGCATGTGGAACAAGATCCGGATTTACAACACCAACGTCAAGTCAGTGCTTCTGTATGGTTGAGAGACTTGGTGGGTTACGGAAGGGATTTACAGCAAACTACAGACATTCATCAACAACTGCTTACGCTCGCTACTGAAGTTCAGATGGCCGGAAAGAATAAGTAACAAGGTGCTCTGGGAACGAACCAACCAAGAACCTATCACCCAACAAATATGCAGGATGAAGTGGAGATGGATTGGGCATACACTGAGAAAGCCGACTGGGGACATCACGTGTCAGGCCAGTTGCTCGAGTGGAATCCCCATGGGAAGCGACGAGCTGGACGTCCAAGGGTGACATGGAGGAGGTCGTGCGAGGAGGAAATGAGAGCTTCTGGGCTGTCGTGGAACCAGGTTCAAAAGATCTCAGAGAAGAGAGTTCACTGGAGACGTGCTACTGAAGCCCTATGTTCTACTAGGAACCCAAGGGACTAATAATAATAATACATAATAAGGAAAAGAGGTACTATTGAAATCGTTAATGACTTCAGAGCCAGGATAACTCTTAGTCATTTCAAAGTTGATTAATTTGACTATGTCTAACATGAGTTTCTTCATATAATACACAACCTAAATAAAGGGGGGGGGGTATGGTTGAATGTTCATATGTAGTTATGCGTGCACAGAGTTTGTCTTCGCACAGGACAGATATGGTGATACAGGTGGGGAGATGGGTAGCCTACAAGACTACTGTTCTGAAAGGGTCACAATGTTGAACGAAACAGCTTTCCAGTCATCCAGGATTCTCATTGGTTCTATAATTAACATCATTTTTTTGCTACGAAAATTATACCCTCTAGTTAGTTATTCTCCACACATCTGCAAACTACTGAAAGATATGTTTAGCGAAAAAATTAACACGTATGTACTGCTTTTCCAGTCGAGTTATGATGTAGAGCTACTAGAAATTACAATTTACAGCTCAATAGGATCTCTCTATGAAGTAATTATCAACACAGATAAAAGGCAGCGCAGAAACTGTTTTAATTGATAGAGTATTGAAAAGCTTCTCCTACTTCGACCCACCTCCTCTTTTGTGACATGTGACCCGAAGCATGTCGAAGGGTGGGATAACTGCAGACCAAAGACATGCGACAATGATTACGCAACATCGTGAAACAGCAGTAGTTGAAGTAACAGATTCAAACTTGCTGTCTGAATGCCAATATACACATCATGAGACCTGACTGTTTCGGCTCGGACATATCACTTAGTCGTTCACAAGAATTAAGAGTTACAAACTAGGATGGAACTATTTTACAGTAGCCCACAACAAACGTCATTCTGTGGTGGAGATTAATTTGATTGCGACTAGTGCATACTTAGCAACATATAATAGAGAATAACAGGATTGTTGTCATGTTTAATGACTTCAGAGTGAGGATGACTGTTCACCATTGCAAAGTTGAATGATTCAACTATGTCTAACATGATAAGGTGATATGTGTAGTATGTATTTGGTATGTGCATAGAGTTTAATATATTTGCTTCTTGTCTAACCTGAAGACAAATATGTAGAGAGGTGTAAATATAGATGATGCTTGTTATCAGATTAAAAAAATATTTTTAATCAGCTGTCTACAAGAGTTCGGATGCCTATCCACGACCGCATTTATCAGTACAATTAGTGGTGTACCACTCGCTCTACCAATGACCTTCAAAATCCTACGCACTACAACGTCTTTTTTTTCCGAAGTCCAAGAAAGTTTTAGAAGGAAATAATGATTAAGTATAGGTGGAACTCAGGGGTTTATGAAACATAAGATTAAAGGCTGAGTTATGCCAGATACTTTGAGTTTCCTCATATAAAACGTCAAGCAAAAAATTTTCTTGGAAATCAGTTAAATATGATGAGACTAAGAAATATCAGAAGAAAAGAATAGGCAAAGACGGATCACATTTCATAAATTCTCAACAATAGGGTCATCTGTAAGAAAGGAGTCATGGAAATGAAACAATTTACAAAGGTTTTGTTCACTATCTGACACTCGATTATATACAACAATCACAAAAGATCTATACATTAAACTTACCGTGGTAAAGCTTCAAGGCATAAAAGAAGTACCTTCAATGGTTCATAAACAAGCTGTTCATCTGCCTTTATTCAATCCTACAAAAATTTTTGCTTATTTTAAAGAAAGAACAAATAAAAACGAAATAATATTCATTGAAAGTATTAACTTGAGTAAATATTCAATTTGATAGTAATGAAGAGAACGTTCCAGTAGTGGAATCAAGAAAATAACTTTCGCGACGTTTAAAGCTTATCAATAACATAAAAACTGAGTAGAATTATTTGGTAAAAACAAAGATTTAAATAACTATTCTTCCGAAAAAGCTTCTATGTACATCTTTCATATTGCATAAGTCAACCGAGAGACTTATTATCATTACTGTTATTTATCCCTTGAATTCCTAGTGACACATAGCGCTTAAGTAGTACGTCACAATTTCACTCTCTTCTCTGCAGTCTATTTAACTTTACTCCAACACTGCCTAAAACCTTTCATTTCTTCCTCACACACCATCTCCTACATGTCACCCTCGGACGACCAACTCGTCGTTTCCTATTGCACTTCAACTCGAGGGCCTCATCTAGTGCGTGATGTCCCCAAACCGTCTTCACAATGCATGCCCAATCCATCTCCACTTTCTTATTCTGCACCTTCGTTCAGCGATAGGTTGTTGTTTGGTTGGTTATAGCAAGGTCACTGTTTCCCCTTCCTTAGTCTTTCTCGCCTTCTAATCTGATCTTCGGTATCAAGTGACCGACCGTAGGCGGCAGCTGTTGGTGATGTATGTGTTCAATTTGTTGGAAATGCTGTCCGTGACGCGACAAGTCTCTCAACCATCACATAGAAGCACTGACTTGACTGACATCAGTGTTGAAAATCCGGATGTTGTTTACACTTTATGCTGAGTGGAGTGAAGTACAGTACAGCGCACAAGATCTTTACACTGATTTCAGACTAATGGATGAAGGTTTGTCTTGCTGTCTTTCCCATCCTGGCTTTGACATCGTCACGTGTCCCTGTGGCGCTTGTAGTTGAAACGATACTGCGCTGCTTAGGTAGGTAGGTGAAACCAATAACGTCGTTAGGATTTCTCACGTGGATGGTGATTGGTGCTTCCTGTTGTTGTTGGTTGGAAAACTTTATCGTCCGTGTCTTCTGTACGTTCACTTAAAGTCCCGTTTTCGCTGCCTTCCTTGTTCGTCAACTTGTTAGTTTTCGCCTGTAGATCTTCGAATATGTAAGGTCTTTTCATCGGTCCAGTCAGCAAATGCCCATCTTCTCACTCCTCACGGTTTGCTGCATGATCCAGTTCAGTCCAGTCGACCACAATCAAGAAGATTATAGGTGATAGTAGGCAGCCTTGTCTTCCTCCTCCCTTCACCTCGATTTCATCATCACTGAGCTTTCCATTGTGAATCTCTCGGCATGTAGCATCATCATCATCATCATCATATAGCTGTTAAATGAGGTTGATGAAGGTTTGTGGCACTTAAACCGTAGTGTTGAAGCAGCTGACTGACAAATTACTTCTCAATCGACACCTCGATCAAAGGTCTCTTCAAAGTCGATGAAGTTGAGGTGGAGAGTTGACTGGCATTCTGTGCTCTGTTCTATGATGATGTGTAGTGTAGAGTTGCTATTTAATCCGCTATGATTCGTTCTTCCTGAATCCAGCCCGCCTATTCGGGTGGTAATTTTGAATCCAGAGCATTTTTTAGTCTCTCCAGGATGATGAGGCTTTATAATGTGCTTGAGGTGGACAGGAGTATGATTCCCCCAGTTATTGAAAAGAATTAGGTAGCCTTTCTTCCAATCTGTAGGTACCTTCCCTTCCTTCCTTTCAAACCTTCTGACATAGTAGTATAAGCATGTCCGCTGATGTCGCTGCGTCTGCTAACTAAGTGATTAAGTTTCAAATAATCAACAGGATACATTGGTAAAGTGGAAGATACTTAAATGAGTGTTGATGAAATAAGTTATTTTATGACGATAACAATGACTGAAACACGAATTTCAGAATTCGACTGAACAGTCACATCAGTTATCTACTACTGATCAATTCATGTAAAAAATCAGTCGTAGTCTAAATGACTTATTGGTTAAGTACCTGACTTTCTCTTTAGGCGACACAAATGAGTTCATACAGAAGTTAATGATGATAATGTCAAGTAAGTACATCACCTTACTGAAAGCTCTATACTCGAACACTTTTGGGCATGTTAGAGCCTATGGTGAGATGTCCAGGGAGTTATGCTCATCGAGTGGTATCCGTCAAGGATGCCCACTGTCTCCATTCTTATTCAACTACATCATAGATACTCTTATGGAGGTCTCCCTGTCGTCACCAGGTTACACAGACGTTGACCTAATCACAGGAAAATTTTCATTAGACTTAGAATATGCAGATGACATAGTCCTGTCAAGTGAACCCTGACAAAATGCAGAGCCTTCTGAACACTTTGAGTGCCAATTTGAGAATGTTTAGCATGCGTTTCTCACTACCGAAATGCAGATTGTTGCTCCAGGATTGGTCTTCAACGGTGCCCCACCGCGGCTAACAAGACAGTGAAGTTGTTCCGTGTCGACCACTTCACTTAAATAGGAAGTAGGATCAGCCCTGCCTTGGTGGCTCAGAAGCCGATAAAATCTCTGCACGGATACAAAAGACTCGATTGGCTTTCGCCAACTTACACCAACTGCGGTGCCGCCGTGATATCCGATTGTCTATTAATGGTAGCGTGTACTGCACCTGCACAGCAGTCCACTCTCTTCTACTGTTTGGCTATGAAACATGGCCATTGAAGGTGGAAGATATGAGACGGTTTCAAGTGTTTGACCACCATTGCCTTCGTAGCACACACCATATTCCATGGTGTCACCATGTGAGTAATGCAGAAGTCAGGAGTAGAGGTAAATCAGTTGACGAGGTTATGAACCTTCATCGACTGAGATGGTTAGGACACGTACTACGTATGCCCAGTAGCCGATTAACTCGTCACACAATGTTGGCTAAAGTAGGTCCAGACGGGAGAAAACGCCCGAGGTGGCCACACTAAAACATGGCACCAATGTATGAAGTCTCTGATTGTTGGTTTCAGCTATGTGGGGCGATAGAGACTAGGTGGTTGGGGTCCGGGAGACAAGAGGAACCAGTGGTTGGAGACTCTAAAGGATACGGCTGAGAACCGATGATAGTGGCACAGATGTATACACATTATCCTCCTCTTAACGACGCCATACCAATTCTCACCAGTTTCTCATTCCTCTTTTCTCTCTTCGAGTACTTTATACTTCTTCTGACTGTACTCTCTTATCTTCATCTTTCACTTTACTGCCTTTTTACTTGATGTACTGATATGAGGTATGGCAACTCGGACTGTTACGCAGTAATGCCTAGTCCTATGTTGATATTGATTGATTGATGATAATGTCGTCTAGCAAGAAGATGAAAGCTCCATGACTAAACAATCCATCTCAGAGAACCCAATACAACCAAGAATACATGCTACAGGCGATGAGGAAGCATCTGAGGCTATATTTCCACACACAAACACATACATACAAACCATACAGTGCTGTTAAAAACGAAACATCTTAATTGACATAAGTTTCTTTTTTAAACGAAACAGGATTTATTCATATAACAAAAGGTAAATGGATATGGAATTCAATAAAATCTTGAACACTAGTTTACAAATCTATTTCCTCTTCTTTTTTGCTTTACATCACTTCATGAACAGTATCAACATCGATGGGATTACCACGGTCTCTATCACAATTATCATTGGGATCATTAGACTTTGGATGATTATCACCGACAGTATAATCTACAGTCATAGTTTCATCTGCTTCCGGTCGTTCCATTAGATAAACGCGACATGTAGAATGATTTTCAAAAAGCTAAGATAAAACGGAAGATTAGAAAAACGAAAGTATAAGAATCAAGTACCTAAGTTTTGTATTCCTGATATCCCAGTGAGTAGAGTTATGCTAACTGAGACTTGAAACCGGTGCCTATCGCGTGAGGAACTGAAATATGACCTAACCCGGTACATTAATAATAATAATAATAATAATTCACTTCATTCCGAACAATTTGTAGTATGTATATGTATATGTATATCCTACTTTAAAACATTTTGAATAGTAATGATGAATAGTGGCTAGCAGTGGAATTCAGTGTGCATTTCGTCTTATTTAAGACTCTTCAGCTGGACTCCACTATTAACCACTATCCATGTTTACGATAATTAGAACAAAGGTATTATTGAGGCAGCCTACACAGGAGTTCACATGCCAATTGAGACCGATCGATTCAGTCCAGTCAACGACGGTAAAACACAAGCAATAATACTATTTTGAATAGTATTACTGTAAGAATTTAAGTAGTGTACAGAATATTAATAATGAGGAAATGTTTCTACTGCTAGTCAAAATATCGGGAAGAGATTATTAACTGTTACAAAGTTGATATGTGAGTCACTTCCTAACACTTTTTAACCAAATAGTATGCATGCTGGGTAAAGTAGTCGAATTTGTGTACTTTGCTGTACGAATATATGGTCTTATGTAGTTTCTCCTTGTCCTCCTTGACAGGAGATACAAGGAGAGAGGGAGCTATGAATCAAGTGGATACTCAGAGTCAGTTAAAATTACTGTAGATAATTGCTTACTAGAATTTAAATGTCTGTCAACTAGTGCGTTAATCACCTGAACCAGAGGCACACCACTCACCCTACTCACTGGCACCTATCAAAGTGCTACGCAATTCAGCATAGTCCTTTTTCAGTACACCAGGAAAATATCAATGGGGAACAATAGAGAAGAATAGGTAAAATGTAGGAATTAATAAACTGTAAAAGTAGAAGTTGATTCATACCAGAAGGCCTCAGTTTCTTGATGTAATATGTTAAACGAAAGATTTTTTTACAAGTCAACAAGATATGAGACGACTAACAAAGGTGAAAAGTAAAACTCAACCCAAGATAGTTTTCACATTCGGTTTACTTTCTGCAGAAATACCATCAAGGCTGTAATAGGCGTTACGGAACCTGAGCAGCTAACACAACTCCGTCTTCTCTACGTCTGAGGCTAAAATTAACAGTCTGGCATTGAGGAGGGTTTAACATGAGATCATTTGAGAGAGACCACTGGTCAATTACAGACAAGAATCCATTTAATTTAGAACAATGTAAATGAAAGTTAAGTGGAATAGAAACTGTCAGGTCATCAGCATACTTAATAAAATTAGTTTCAACAGAATAAGGCGGATCATGCAAAAAGAACGAAAACAGAAAAGGAGAAAGTACCACACCTTGAGGCATACCATCTTCAGTAAGCAATAAAGTGCAGTGCTTCCCTTTATAGACAGTATACTGTTTTCTTTCGGCGGAATAAGAGTGGATCGACTTTGTAACCTATGACTTAGTATGAGCTATGGCAAGATTATTTAACGAGAATGGTCTACGAACAGAGTCAAAGGTTGATGACTAATCCAAGAAGGCACAACAAACATACTTGACACCTTTGTCGAGACTAAAAACAATATTATGATTACGCAAGACAGTGACATCGTTTAAAGTACTTCCCCAGTTAAATTTTGAGGGAGTTGTGGAGATTTGGAAATATTTCAAGTTGTCATTACTAGGACGAAACACCTGTCCAGTGCTGCCAGGTTTCCTTTGTTCCTCCAACTGATGTCAGTCTACTTCTCCAGTGCTTGTAAGCAAATTATTTTCGATACCTGAAAACTATGAGTGAAGGCTTAATGACGAGAAGAAGTAATTTCTCCATTGTCTTCAGAAAAGGATTAGTTATAGAGATGGACTGAAAGCTAACATCTGATCCTGATAATGACTTAAGCACAGGTACAACTTTGACCTTCTGCCAAGCGGCAAGTATTGTATTCTTTTAGAAAACGAAGCATTGAAGATATCTGTAAGGGGATGACATAAATTATCTGAACATTTCCTAAATATAATACTCAGCATACAAGCTTTAGGATGGATTCAGTGATTAAGGAGACTTAATTAAGTCATCTGAACCTCGCCAGGTTAACTATTTCACTAGTTACCAGCTAGTCCTAAGACCAGGTAAAGAGGGAAGGTTTGGGAAACGGCTAGCAATCCTACCTTGCAAAACTAATCCAATCGCTAAAGAAACTTCAAAGTACCCTAAGCAAAATATTATGCCGCATCATCCTGGAAAGACTAAAAAAATGCTCTGAATTCAAAATTACCACCGGAAAAGGCGGGCTGGATTCAGGAAGAACGAATCATGAGCGGATTAAATAGCAACTCTACACTACACATCATCATAGAACAGAGCACAGAATGCCAGTCAACTCTCCACCTCAACTTCATCGACTTTGAAGAGGCCTTTGATCGAGGTGTCGATTGAGAAGTAATTTGTCAGGCAGCTGTTTCAACACTACGGTTTAAGTGCCACAAACCTTCATCAACCTCATTTAACAGCTATATGATGATGATGATGATGATGCTACATGCCGAGATATTCACAATGGAAAGCTCAGTGATGATGAAATCGAGGTGAAGGGAGGAGGAAGACAAGGCTGCCTACTATCACTTCTGATGTTCTTGATTGTGGTCGACTGGACTGAACTGGATCATGCAGAAAACCGTGAGGAGTGAGAAGATAGGCATTTGCTGACTGGACCGATGAAAAGACCCTAGAAGATTTGGATTTCGCCGATAATTTATGTCTACTATCGCACAAACTCGAAGATCTACAGGCGAAAACTAACAAGTTGACGAACAAGGAAGGCAGCGAAAACGGGACTTTAAGTGAACGTAGAGAAGACATGATTGATGAAGATACCGAACCAACAACAACAAACACTAATCACCATTAATTGGAGAAATCTAAAGGAATTTGCCTCTCACACTTACCTAGGCAGCATCGTTCTAACTACAGGCGGCATAGGCACAGACGAGGATGTCGAAACCGGGATCGGAAAGACAGCAAGACACACCTTCCTTCATTCATCTAAAATAACCACTGTGGAGATCTACTGCACTCAGCATAAAGCATCAACAACATCCGGATTCTCAACACTTAGGTCAAGTCAAGTCAAGTCAGTGCCATAATATGATGGTTGAGAGACTTTGCACGTCACAAAACGCATTTCCGACAAACTACAGACATTAATCAACAGTTGCCACCTACGCTCCTTTCTAAAGATCAGATGAGAAGGTGAGAAAGAATAAGCAACAAGGTACTCTGGCTGGCTGGCAACAAACCAACCAAGAACATATCACCCAACAAATATGTAGAAGAAGAAAGTGGAGATGGATTGGGCATACACTGAGAAGGTCGACTGAAGACATCACGCTCCAGTCCAGTCACTCGAGTGAAACGCAGATGGGAAACGACGAGTTGGGCGTCCGAGGCGAGAGCGACATAGAGGATATTGTGTGTGAGGAAAAAATAAGAAGTTGTGGGCAGTCGTGGTGTCAGGTCAAAAGACTGCAGAGAAGAGAGTGCAATAGAGGCGTGCTACTGCAGACCTATGTTGCATTAGGAATCCAAGGGAAAACTAAATAAATAATAATGATAGTAATAATAAATATGTCATTTGTATAAAAACCAGGAAAGCAGTTATCCATTTGACTTTAGGCATTATTATATGTTGTATTACTAGTACCTTGGGTTCCTAATGGAACATAGGGCTTCAGTAGCACGTCTCCAGTGAACTCTGTTCTCTGAAATCTTTTCAACTTGGTTCCACGACAGCCCACAAGCTCTCATTTCTTCCTTGCACGATCTCCTCCATGTCACCCTCACCACGGACGCCCAACTCGTCGTTTCCCATGGGGATTCCACTCGAGCGACTGGCCTGACGCATGATTTCCCCAGTCGGCTTTCTCAGTGTATGCCCGATCCATCTACACTCCCTTTTACTGCATATTTGTTAGGCGATAGGTTGCTGGTTGGTTCGTTCCCAGAGCACCTTGTTACTTATTCTTTCCGGCCATCTGAACTTCAGTAGCGAGCGTAAGCAGTTATTGATGAATGTTTGTAGTTTGCTGTAAATCCCTTCCGTAACCCACCAAGTCTCTCAACCATACAGAAGCACTGACTTGACGTTGGTGTTGTAAATCCGGATCTTGTTCCACATGCTGAGTACAGTGCAGAAGATATCCACACTGGTTTCAGGCTAATGATCGCCTGTCTTGCTTTTCAGATTCTGACTTTGACATCCTCATCTGTCCCGCCTGTAGTTGAGACAGTGCTGCCTAGATAGGTGAAGGAGGTTACTTCCTTTAAGTTTCTCCCGTTGATGGTGATTAGAGCCTGTTGTTGTTCTTGTTGGAGTTGTTAGTGCGGTATCTTCATCACCCATGTCTCCTCTATATTCACCTGAAATCCCGTCTTCGCTGCCTCTTCTGCCAACTTGTTAGTTTTCGCCTGTAGATCTTCGAGTTTGTGTGACATCAGACACAAGTTATCGGCGAAATCCAGATCTACTAGGTTCTTTTACGCAGTCCAGTGTACCCCCTCTTCTCGCTCCCCACTGTTCGCTGCATGATCAAGTCGACCACAATCAGGAATATCATAGAGGATAGTAGACAACTTTGTTTCACTCCTACTCCTGTCTTCACTTCAAAATCATCACTGAGCTTACCATTGTGAATTACTTGGCCGGCATGTGGCATCTTCATATAGTTGTTGAATGAGGCGGATAAAGGTTTGCGGTATTCTATAGTATTGAAGCAGTTTCCAAATTACCTCTCAGTCGACGCTGTCAAAGGCCTTCTCAAAGTCGATAAACTTCAGGTAGAGAGTTGACTGCCATTCTATACTCTCTTCTATGATGATACGAAGCGTTGCAATTCGGTCCACACATGATTTCTACTTCCTGAATCCAACCAGCCAGACAGCCTGTTCGGGTCGTAGTTTTGAATCCAGTGCATTCTTTAATCTCTCCAGGATGATGCGACTTAATATTTTGTTTGCTATATGTGGACAGGAGAGTGATTCCGAGCCAGTTCTTGCAAAGGCTGAGGTCGCCCTTCTTCAGGAGTTTGACAAGGTAACCCTTCTTCCAATCAATGGCCAGGTACCTTCCCTTCCTTCCACACCTTCTGCAATAGTGGTGTAGTGTGAGCATGTCCCCTGTTGTCTCTACATCTGTTCTCAGTGCTTCTGGCGAGATTCCATCTAGTCCTGCTGCTTTCCCGCATTTCAGTAGCTTTATAGCGTTCAGGACTTCGGTTTTTGTTTGAGGACTTCGGGCATTAGGAAGTATGAAATCAGCTTGCCGACGTCTGAGGGATTTGTTTAGCGCGCAGACATCCAAACAAGCTTTTCTTGTCAGCTATTTTCTACCAGTAAGCTCTTCAAATAATTTTCATATATTTGAAGAGTTCTTACACGATAAAAACTTTTGGTTGTATGCAGTATTTAGATATTGTATTTCAAACTTAATTAGGTAGTTAAATCTTTCAACGCCAGGGTGATCTCTCGCCTTATATAACCTTTCCTTTTCTTTCCGAAGACTTTTGAGATAAAGAGAGGAAAGTTTGTCGAATCTCATGTAGATTGTTTCAGCAGGACAGTAAACATCGTGACAAAATCTGAAATAGCTTGTGATAGTGTTGTCTAAAACTTCATCAGCAAATATATCTCAATCTGTTTCCATAAGTAAGCTCTTCAAACGTAATATATTTTCTTGTGAATAGCATCTGTTTTGGATTTTCTTGAAAAGGTGTCCAAAAGCTTTCTTGTGTAATTTGCCATACACTTTAGGTTAAAAAAAATACATAATACAGTGGTCAGAATTTAGTAGTGGAGCCCGTTTACCGGTTTCATATATGCCAGGTTCATTCGTAACCTCTAAGTCTAGGGTATTGTCAAGACGAGTAGAAAAGTTAACTATATTTTCATGATCCAATGATACTCGTAAACTGTAGTCACATGAGTTAAAATCTCCACAGACCATAATAGACAAGGAGTTACCCGGAATCGGAACAGCAAATTCAGTGAATTCATCAGCAAAAGTCGACAAATCTGAGAAAATGCAGTCAGGTGCGACATAAACGTTTGTTATATATATATATATATATATATATATATATATATATATATATATATGTTTGTACTTGTTCAAATGTTTTGGATAACATATAATGGTTTTGGACTCAATTTTCTCGTTAGAGAAGCAGAAGCATACATAGTTGGAGGGGGACGAAGTTTCCATTGATAAATATCTCTACACCCCCACCACATTTCTTCTTGGAAAAGCTTCAATCTTGTCGAAATAATTTGAAACTATTTAAGCAGACTAAATCATCAACATACAGTTTATGAAGTTATGTTTCTTGTAGCATTATTATACCAGTATTTTGATAAATATTTACGGTTAGGAGTGACTGAAGGTAATCAACTTTTTTTTCGGTAAAGATCTACAGTTTGTACTAAGTATTTCCAGGGATTAGTCATGGTCACAAGCTTGAGAGCGTGTTGCCAACCATCGTGATGCTTCTTCTTAATTTGCCTATCAACTTGTAAAGCGATAGGTTGCAATGATTTTAAAAATGTGCGACAGTATACAATACCATTAGTTGACAAAATTGAACGATTAAAACAATATAGAAAAGAGAAATTTGATCCAATATATTTTGTGGAAATATAAGGTACTTAAGAGTTCGAGCAGGCAAGAAAGTTTATCTACTAGGCTATGAAAGATACTTGTTGTGTTGTCTAAGCTGTAATAAGTCGAGCAGGATTCGAACCTAGCGACTACTACTACTACTACTACTCCAGCAAAATGCGTCACATTCCTAGGAAAAGAATAACTAGCACAAAAATGCAACAATAAAACTTACAACAAAAATGATTGATCGATCACCATTAGTTGTCATTTTAACAGCATGCCATGGTAGTGGTTCAACATTGGTTCGTGTAATAAACTCGGAAATGCTCTTTTTTGGTCTAAAGAAAAATAGTAAAAAATAATCTTCATAAATTAGAAGTAGTATTCATCATGGGCTGACATCAGTTGGGGAACCATTGAAAATCTGGGAGCACTGGACAGCTGTTTCGTCCTAGTATCAAACTCTTCAGCAGTACGCACCTACGACCCGCCTAGGGGCCGAACTCAGAACCTTCAGGTTTCACGGCAAACGCGTTAACCTGTGGGGTCAACCAGTCGGAAGTGAAGTGGATGGTAACTGAAGACCTTGGGTGACAGTCGCACTATGTCGTGAATTGACAGAAGTTGGAAATTGTGAACCACTGGAAACCGACCCAGCGGATGAATGGTCAACGCGTTCGACGTGAAACCTAAAGGTTCTGAGTTCGACCCCTAGCCGGGTCGTGTGTGCGTACTGCTGAGGACTCCCATACTAGGACGAAACAGCTGTCCAGTGCTCCCAGATTTCTAATGCTTCCCCAACTGATGTCAGTCCATGATGAATACTACTTCTAAATTAAAAATCCCCATTCATCTCAAAAATACATTAATATTCTTAATGTGAAATACAATAACTATGAGTATAGTACTCACTACTCATATCATTTTAAATTAATTATCAAAAACATTATGAAGGTAAACAATTTCTCAAAAACTATATATAACTGAGTAGAATGATGAATTTACTAGTCGTTAGGTCCATACTGCTAAGAAAAAACATTACAATATTTAGATTTCTCCAATGATGATGATTTATGTCTAATGTCGCACAAAATGGAAGATCTACAGGTGAAAACCAACAAGTTGGCAGAAGAGGCGAGGTAGTGAAGGTAGGGAAGACAGAGGTGGTGAAAGTACCCAACTACCAACAACCACAAGCACCAATCACCATCAACACGAGAAATCTTAACGATGTTGTCCCTTTCGCCAACTTACCTAGGTAGGGCAGCATCGTTTCAACTACAGGCAACACATGCATATGTGACGATGTGAAAACCAGGATCGGAAAGACAGCAAGACAGACCTTCATTCATTAAACTGAAATCAGTGTGCAGATCTTGTGAGCTGCACTGAACTTCACTCCACTCCACTCAGCATAAAGCGTCAACAACATCAGGATTTTCAACACTAATCTAAATCAACTCACTGCTTCTATTTGATGGTTCAGAGACTTCAAGACTCACGAAAACCACTTCCAATTAACTGCACACATACATCACATCAACAGCTGCCGCCTACGCTCGGTCACTCGATACTGAAGATCACTTTAGATCAGAAGGCGAGTAAGAATAAGGAAGGCGTAACTGTGGCCTGGAGATGAACCAATCAAACAACAACCAATCGCCTAACAAACATCTAGAATAAGAAAGTGGAAATGGATTGGATTGGAAAAACACTGAGAAGACCGTCTGGGGACATCACGCGCTAAGTGCGGCCCTCTAGTTGAAGCCAAATAGGAAACGATGGGTTAGGTTTCCCAGGGTGGCATGTAGGAGATGGTATGTGAGGAAGAAATGAAAGGCTATAGGCATTGGTGGATCCAGGTTAAGGAGACTGAGGAGAAGAGAGTGAAATGGCTATGTGCAACTAAAGCCTTATGTTTCACAAGGAACCCAAGGGATAAATAATAATCATGATGGTCCACATTGACATTTCGCTTACAACCATGAGCATTTTTTCAACTGCTCAACTTTGATGGTGTCAACAAGGTTTCTGTGGAAAATCATTCATCAGCGAAGATTAGAGGTGTCATGCAATAATGAAATATACTACTACTGAGCAATATGAGTAGTCAGAAACCACTCAGACTGATCCCATTGACACCATCAAAGATAGGCAGCTGATAAGCTCGACCCCCAAAGGAGTAAAACAGCCATCCGGTGATTACTGTTGTCTGGATACCTGAGTAAATCTTCAGATCAGCAATATATTTGAAATTACTGAAGTTTACCAATGCTTTACAGTCCTTTTCGATAAGAGAAACAAAACAGCTGAGCTATATCTATCTCATAATTGTTATTATCACTCAAGGTGTTAACATGTTACGAAGACCAAAAGGAAAGGCATAACGACAAAAACTGGATCTTTGATGTTTAATCAATCTATTTCTGTTGAAATATGAAACATAAATAAGGCAGTTCATTTTAATGAGACATCAGTTTTAGATGAGATAAACGATAATCTCAATAGGATTAATCCACAGAATCGTCGATTTAATATCTCAAATTATTTCCTTGCCAGAAGTAACCACATTGATAATAATAAGTGAGCCATTGAGAACCTAGAAGAACTGGGCATCTACAACCCCTATTCACCGCGAAACCTAAAGGTTGTGAGATGTGTACTGCTGAAGAGTCCCTACTAAGACGAAACCCCTGCTGGTCAGTGTTTCCAGTTTTTCAATAGTTATCCAATTGATTTCCACCTGTGAGGAATACTACCCTGAAAAAATCCTTAAAAACATGAAACTTTAAGAGAAAAAAGTACATCTAAAGTCTCGTTAGAAAGCAGGAAACTATAAACACTAAATACATACTTGTACTGACTACAAAGCGGATACTAGGAAGAAATCAAGTGCGTTGATTTGACCAGTCAGGATGTATCAATTACCAGTATATTTAATATTATTGTTATCATTATTATTTATTTTTCCCTTAGGTTCCTAATGCAACATAGGTCTGTAGTAGAACCTCTCCATTTCACTTCCCTCTCTGCAATCTTTTGAACCTGGATCCACAACAGCCCACAACCTCTCATTTCTTCCTCACACACAATCTCCTCTATGTCACTCTCGCCTCAGACGCCCAACTCGTCGTTACACATCTGCGTTCCACTCGAGTGACTGGACTGGAGCGTGATGTCTTCAGTTGACCTTCTCAGTGTATGCCCAATCACTCCCCACTTCCTTCTGCAGATTTCTTCAGCAATAAGTTATTGGTTGGTTCGTTGCCAGCCAGCCAGCCAGCAAGAGTTCCTTGTTGTTTATTATTCTTTCTGGCCATCTCACCTTCAGTAACGAGCCAGTGTAAGCACTTCTTCATGAATGTCTGTAGTTTGTTCCAAATACATTTCGTAACCCACAAAGTCTCTCAACCATCACATAGAAGCACTGACTTGACTCACATTAGTGTTGAAAATCCACATGTTGTTCAGGATTTATGCTGAGTGCACAAGATCTCCACACCGTCTCAGGCTAATGAATGCCCGCCTTGCTGTCTTTTCGATAACGGCTGCTTTGACGTCCTCATCTGTGTCCCCACCTGTAGTTGAAACAGTGCTGCCTAGATAGGTGAAAGAGGCTACTTCCTTCAAGTTTCTCTTCTTCATGGTGACTAAAACCTCTTGTTGTTGATGCTCTTGTTGGTTGGCTATCTTCATCACCCATATCTTCTCTACGTTCACTTCAATGGTGTCCCGTCTTCGCTGCCCTGACTCGCCTCTTCTGTCAACTTGATAGTTTTCGCCTGTAGATCTTCAAGTTTGTGTGACATCAGACACAAGTTATCGGCGACATCCAGATCTTTTAGGTTAGTCCAGTGTATCCCCCTCTTCTCACAGCTCCCCACTGTTTGCTGCATGATCAAGTCGACCACAATCAGGAATATCATGGGGGATAGTAGGCAACCTTGTTTCACTCCTACTCCTGTCTTCACTTCAAAAGCATCACTGAGCTTACCATTGGCCGGCATGTGGCATCTTCATATAGTTGTTGAATGAGATTGAGAAAGGTTTGCGGTACTCCGTAGTAATGAAGCAGTTTCCAAATTACCTCTCAGTCGATGCTGTCAAAGGCCTTCTCAAAGTCGATAAAATTCAGGTAGAGAGTTGACTGCCGTTCTATACTCTCTTCTATGATGATGCGAACAGTTGCAATTTGGTCCACACATGATTTCTACTTCCTGAATCCAGCCAGCCAGACAGCCAACCAGCCAGCCAGCCTGTTCGGGTCGTAGTTTTGAATCCAGTGCATTCTTTAGTCTCTCCAGGATGATGAGGTATAATATTTTGCTTGCTATGTGTGGACAGGAGTGTGATTCCGAGCCAGTTCTTGCAAAGGCTGAGGTCGCCCTTCTTCAGGAGTTTGACAAGGTAACCCTTCTTCCAATCAATGGCCAGGTACCTTCCCTTCCTTCCACACCTTCTGCAATAGTGGTGTAGTGTGAGCATGTCCCGTGTTGTCTCTGCGTCTGTTCTCAGTGCTTCTGGCGGGATTCCATCTAGTCCTGCTTCTTTCCCGCATTTCAGTAGCTTTATGGCGTTCAGGACTTCGACTTTTGTTGGAGGATTTACGTTCACTTGTAGTTCTATATCTGCAGGTGGTATTTCTGGACGTAGTGCAGGTCGCCCAGGAATTCCTTTCCTAAGAATTGCATAGAACATATTTTACTCGAAGTTTACACACATACAGTTAAAATATGATAAGAACTGACTAAAAATGCTTACAAATTGCTCTGAATAGAATCATTCATAATTGTAGCAACTGGATCCATTTTCTGTCTTGTAACATCGTTTTCCGTATTAATAGGATGATTAACACTGGACAACATATCATGAATAGGCAACATAACAAGCCAACTATGCATTAATTCATTAGTTGCTGATGTCAATGATGATATTTCACGAGGTAGAAAAGCTTCAGTGTTTCCTTTATCCATTTGTGTACTAGACCTCGGTGATCGAATATAATGAGATTTACTAGAGTGTTTTGAACGACGAGATATAAGTAAAAGAAGAATTTGAGGGGAGTAGAACTGCATATCTTGAAGTTCATAAGGTCTAGAAGAAAGAAAATGAACGATACAGAAAGCTTGAGTCATAATACAAACGTCAATTTTCATATTGAAAGTGGAAAGTGATCAGTAGTGGAATCCAGTTTTATATATGTGACGATGTTCTATTTGCGACTAGTTAGCTGGATATGATGGCCTCCCAGTGAGTGATATTATCCTCACTAAGATCCGAAAGCTAAACCGATCCCTTTAAACGCCTAAGTGTGAATCCAATAGGCTACTGAGCCATGATAACCACTTCCTGTGCATCAGGTACACCATGACTTTCTTTATGTTAAGTCAATGTAGTTGATTGTTACAAACTGACTGACCATCATAATCATCAACATCAATATCAACATAGGACCAGGCATTACTGCGTAACGGTCCGAGTTGCCACACCTCATATCAGTACATCAAGTAAAAAGGCAGTGAGGCGAAAGATGAAGATAAGAAAATTCAGTTAAAAGAAATATAAAGTACTCAAAGAGAGAAAAAAAGAATGAGAAAATGGTGAGATTCGGTATAGCTGCTTCGGCCAACATTATGTGACGAGGCAATCGATGACTAGGCACACGTTGTACGCTTCCCAATCATCTCAGTCGATGAAGGTTCATAACCTCGTCAACTGATTTACCTCTACTCCCTAAAACTCTACTCCTGACTTCTGCATTACTCACATGGTGACACCATGGAATATGGTGTGTGCTACGAAGGTAATGGTGGTCAAACACTTGAAACCTTCTCATATCTTCCACCTTCAATGGCCATGTTTCATAGCCACACAGTAGAAGAGAGTGGACTGCTGTGCAGGTGCAGTACACGCTACCCTTAATAGACAATCGGATACCACGGCGGAGCCATAGTTGGCGCAAGTTGGCAAAAGCCAGCTAAGCCTTTTGTATCCTTGCAGAGATACACAGAGATACTACAATCGATGGATCCAAAAGTAGAATGAAAACACGCATCCTTGGTCCCACTACTAGGGAATATCCCTGAATGATATAAAAAGATTGAAAACACCAGTAGTAATGAGGGATTGGCACAAAAGGACATATACCGATGGTAACCGATCAATTTGTTTCAAACAAAGACAGAGATTGACAAGCCGAAACATCATAAAAAGACAGATTTCAGTTAACCAGTTTCTATACGAACAAAGCGTAAAAAGTAGTGAACGTTAGCAAGATCAGAGTCATAATAACAGTTATTGTCTGACCTCTTCGGAGACCTAATATTTGATGAAGGCAGTTACATCATCAAGTTAAAGACATCATTATATTATGATTACTACTGTCAGAATAGAGACGGTACAGTACGGGAACCAAGAAATGCGACACACAAAATAATATAACAATACAAAGCAATAGGAAGTGAATGAGTAAGGAAGAAAAACAATAAGAATAGCATGGTTGGAATGGTGGTCCAATAAGATATATTTAATTAGCAGAAGACAGGAGGAAGCTACTGCACGACCACCACTGGTTTCGATTCTAAGTCATATCTCATAACATCTCAAGCCACTGAGTTGCCTGAACTCTCAGACCCCACCTAGACAGTCATCATGCACCAACAGATACTAACGCGATACAACTGTGCTTCATCCCACGGTGCCACATTATACACTGACCACCCCTCCGCTTCTTCCATCCAGTCCCACAGTTAGCAAACAATGAACGGAGTGGAAGCCATTGGGGCGACATGCATAACACATATCCAAGCCACTGGTGTTTTTGGATGACATACGGTGTCGTACCTCATAACTACTTACATGATGTTGCCACCGGATACGAGCAATCCTACGAAGACAACGATAGTCGAACATCCTCAGCTCGGAGAGGCCAGGTTTCGCAAACGTAGAGTAGAACTGCTTGCCCCGAAATGTTGTAAATCCCGACCTTTTAAAGCCAGACTAACGTTACAACGGAGCCAAAGGTGCATCAGATTGGCGTATACCACTTCGCTCTTCGGTTGGAAATTTCACCAATCACACCTCCACCAGCACACACAACTACCCAGACGTACAAATAACTTCTCGGCTACTTCCAACGGCTCACGATCATAGGTAAGCATAGGCAAAGGCTCCTAACAATCTTGTATAGGTACTTTGCAGTTTATTGGTGCAAAGGAAATACCATACTTACGGACGTAAATTGCAAAAAACTGATTAGGTGTGACTTGAGTAGCCTGTGTGCTATCACGTCGTAAGACGATATTGTCCGCATATTCAAGGTTGAATAGCCGTTCTCCGAGTAGTAGATGTACACCACTATTATCAGTGGCAAAGTGAAAGAGTAATTGAGAAATCAACCAACCCTACTAACCTCGTTGCTGGTTTGGAACAATGGAGGCAGGTAGTTGTATCCCCTCACTCGACCTAAGTTATTATATACGGCACACCCCTCCCTAACAGACAATTCCAGAGTATGGCTTTGCCCAACGAATAGAAGGCAGCTCTATGTCACGAAACATAGCGATTGTTAGCCTGCAATATGTGACGCGATATTGAAGCATCTGGCGGAGGGTAAACACACGATCAATGCATGCACGAACTGAACGAAATCTGGGCTACTCCTCGCAAATCATTTACTGACGGGTCTCGTAACGTTTGTGAAGTATGATATTAGCCAATATTTTCGACGCGACTGGTAATAGACTAATATTCAGATGTCTGTCACATAAATTACGTGGACCTTCTCAAAAGATGGGCCCAATACTGGCTATATTTCAGAGCAATGGGACACTTCCAGTCTGCAATACCTTCTCAAATAGTCTAGTCAGTCCCCTGACTAGAGTCGTTCGTTCATCCTTAGAAAGAGCTGAGAGTAAGTTGTTTGGGTCGGGTATGTTGTAGCATTTCGAAACTTAGAGTTAATTATGAACCTCCGCTTCGTTAGATGGGTCAGTGTTAACTGACTATGGTTCATGATACACTTAATCTGACAATGCTGGAGCCATGGAACAGCTAAATTGCTTTTCGAAATGCTCCACCCAGCGTTCTAGGAGTCTTTGAAGAATGTTTATCGGTGTACCATCTACATCATACTGAAATATACGCTGAAGAGGAATATTTCACGATTAATCACATAACCTTGCAACGATAAGCTATGGTAACAAGTGCTTTGACACTTACTACTACAAGTCAACAAAAAACATAGATCAATAGGTGTACAAAATGGTCAATCCAGGAACACTTAACATTAGTAAGTCGATACAAACGGGCTGTTACTCATATCGATTCTATTGAAGTGATTTCTGTCAGTGTATAGAAAGACAGATAGACAGACAAAATCAATGTAGAACCTCGTACACAAGTACATCGCCTCAAGTTGTCATACTTCACAGTAGTATACAAAGATTAGGTAGATAGAAAAGGTGTGATATCAAAGTAGATAAAGTAGTGGAAGAGAATAAACAATCCGAAGATAATGATTGGTAAAAATATTCAAGCTTCAGAAGACATCGAAAAGTGAACATATATATGCTGATCTTCAGTCATTTCACCAAGAATCCTTTAACCATTGAATCCTAGAGTTTCGGGAACCCTAGTCACTGCATATAAAATAATCATTGAATTCTTTTCTGAAAAGCAGTGAATTGAATTGAATGCATCCGATAGACAACTATACTCATTATTTATACTGGGTGATGATTGAAGGTGAAATGAACCACGACAGGATTCGAACCAGCGACCTACAGGTTTCCGACTTGATGCTCTACCAACTAAGTTGTGAGATCCAACTGCTGACCAAATTTCTATTTCTCTTCAATCACCATGGGTTTTTACAAGACTAACATATGAATTCATGGCGCATTACTACCGCTTGGTCGTATTCCCACTGACTGCTGACTGCCTAGTCAGGATTTATCATCCCAATGCAAATCTAACTGAATTAGAGAGAGGAAGCATCATATAGATTATCATTTCACCTTCAATACTAGTCTACCAAACTACGACTATCTTAAATAGTCAAATGATAATCAATATGATGCTCCCCCCTTTCTAATTCAGTTAGATTTAGATTGGGATGAGAAGTCCTGACTAGGCAGCAGTCAGTGTGAGTAACATAGAAGTAGTGATGCGTTATGAATTCACATGATAGTCGGGTAAAATCCCGCTTTGTGAGTGAAGTGAAATAAAAATGTGGTCCATATTCGAACCTCATAGCTCAGTTGGTAGAGTATCGGTATGGAAACCCCGTAGTGGATGGTTCGAATCCTGTTGCGGTTCAAATTTTCATCTCACCATCAATCATCCATCACTCAGTATCAATACTAGTCAATCAAACCACGGCTATCTCAGTGAGTCAAAATGAAACAATAGTTATTTGTTGATAGTGGCTAACAACAAAAAGTAAACTGTAAATTTTGTCCTATTTAGGGTTCATCAGCTCCATGTAATTGAGTGTATTGTTAAGTATGAAAGTTGTAATTATTCAATGGATGTGATACTGTAGATACACTTTTAACGGTGAGAAATGCGCTCTATATATAACAGCAATATTAAAGTAATGGATAAAATTACTTACAAACATGTAGGGTTCGAATCTCCAGGTATAGCATCCAAAAAGATTTCAATACCATTTAAAACTCTAAAGTGAGATATAAGGTAGGACACGAAAATAGAATTTCAAAAGTCAACTAGTTAGTGACTATATTTTTTTTTAAAAAAAAAGTGGTTTTTAGGCATCCTATATCAGGACGAAGCAGATGTCTCCAAATGATGTTGACCCGTGATGAATAATTACCGTGAAAATGAAATCTCGATTAATTAGAAAATACATTACTGCATTTTTCTCATTACTGACACATTTTCAGATGGATATCATGAAGTTTTAGTGAAAAGTGGTGACAAGTGGAGGAAATCATATTGAACGGGAAGCGCGTATGCTAAATGAAAACCATGTAGGATAGTTGCACTATATTATGGATTGACAAAAGTAGGAAACAATAGATTATTGACCCCTGATCTAGTGACTGAATAGTTAACGTATTCGACGTGAAACTTAAAGGTACCAAGCTGCTCCATGCTCAAAGGTTATCCATGGTTCTCCAACTGATCTCAGACCATGGTATATATTACCGCCATAATTCAAATTATGCTTAATCCCTTTTTTTCCCATGATTTCGACGCCTGTGCCGAATACCATAACTGTAAAATAAAGTTGACATCATCCTGTTTCGTAGGATTTTTATCAGCTGTATACAAACTGAATAAACATATATGAACAGTCATTCGAAGAAGTTTCGGCAAACCTTATATGAAGTTTCTTACAATGTCATTTCATCTCCGAAGGTCAGGAAAAAAATATTTTCATTTCGAATATAAAATCCATTCGAAGTGGAAACATGTTTTACCAAGTAAAAAGAGGAGTGTTCTTTCGTTAATATATTGAAGTCGTTACGTATTTATATGAAAGAAAACACTGTCTCAACAGAATACTCATTATCGTGATAATGAGAAATGTTGGTAATTTTTTGGATGCAAAGAATTGATACGGAAATCATGTGGTCTCGGGATAATTCAGCGTTACCAAGGTTAAAGATAGCAAATTCTAAACGGTAACCCATAGGGTGAAACATTCATTATCCAATCTCTAATGGTTTGAGCAACTGGATAGCATTATCATCCCACAGAAGGTCAACTATGGTAAGAATAATTTCGTAATAACGTCTCTGATCTCAGCATCGGGTTGATGACGATTGAATCTGTCTAGGCATATCAATCCATCCAAGGTTACAGATACATGTTGCTGATGAGTGTTAACAAGTAAGAAATCACAGTTTTCTGTTGACTGTATCCAATCATCTAACATCAAATACTCGAAAACTTAAAATCTAACTTTAGTTACTCTTATGTAACACATACATCAACCATTTAAATATTCAACAGTAGACTCATTATGTTACTTCAGTGGGCGTTGCTGATAACAATTGATATAAGTAGTATATGTCGAGAGGGTGGCAGAAATCATACGGAATTATCGGCAATGGGTAAGGTTTCTGCCAAGAGCAATGCAAAGGATAACGCAGGCGTATTACAGTGGATGCTGTTCATAAGAATGTATGAAGAGCAGATCAAGAGAGGAACAGAAGCACATTTGCAAATGACTGGGTTAGTGCAAGGTGTACCATATATCCTTCTAACCATTATCCTTCAAATTGTTCACAACATGCATTCTTTCCGTCGTGTTTGTCGTCTGTCTTTGCGACTGGCATCGCTGCCACTATATTACGACCACAAAGTTAGAAAATTCTTGAAATAGTTAGGAGACAATTGCAAACGTTAAAATTTCGAACCGTTGACAAAATTTTATTGCGGAGTATTAGAACAAAAAATGCAGAGACAAGATAGTGAACAAATGATAACATACTTAAAAGATGATTTCATACTACTAACATCCAATTCGATAGAAATTAGTGAACTGAAGCCAAATATTTCATCTCCCATAGTATACGCGATTAATATAGTTCCTTGTTTGGTATGTTCAGACGACAAACATGATGACTTTGTCTCAGAAGACTCTTCAAAACAGTTGACAGATGTGAAATGAACACCCAAGTTTGAAAGACTAGATGAACTAAAACAAAGAAAAATTAAACGGTGGTAGGTATTAGAAAATTTTGTTGAATTAGACAACTGGAATTTAAAGTTGGCAGAAAAGGCAAGGCAGCGAAGACTGGACTTCCTACAGGTGAACGTAGAAAAGACACAGGTGATGAAGATACCCAACCAACATCACTAATCACTATCAACGGGAGAAATCTAAACGGAGTTATGTCTTTCAGCTACCCACCTAGGCATGGCAGCATCGTTTCAACTACAGGCAGCACATGCATACATAAGGATGTCAAACCCAGGATCGGAAAGACAGCAAGACAGGCCTTCATTCATCAATCGGAGATTATCAATGTAGAGATCTACTCCACAACACTCCACTCCACTCCACTCAGCATAAAGCGTCAACAACATCCGGATTTTCAACACTAATCTCAATCAACTCACTGCTTCTATCTGATGGTTCAGAGACTTCACGACTCACGAAAACCACTTCCAATTAACTGCACACATACATCACATCAACAGCTGCCGTCTACGCTCTATCACTCATCACTGAAGATCACATCACATTAGAAGGTGAGAAAGAATAAGGAAGGTGTAAGATGGAGATGGATTGGATTATATAATACACAAAGAAGACCGTTTAGGGTTATCACGTGCCAGGTCAGGCAAGGCAAGGCCAACCCATAGAGTGGAAGCCAAAGGGAAAAAAGGGAGTTCGGTGTCCGAGAGTGACATGGAAGAGATCGTGTGAGGAATAAATGAAAGGTTGTGGGCAGTCGTGGAGTCAGGTCAGGTTGAGAAGACTGCAGAGAAGAGAAGGAAATGGTGACGTGCTACTGAAGCCCTATGTCCCACTAGGAAGCCAAGGGACAAATAATAATCGTAATAATAATAGTAGGATTTCAAAAGCAATTCGTGATGAACTTCATATTAGACTTGTTTGTTCGATGTTGAGGATCATTTGGAACGCAGCTACGATTGGCGTAGGTTTTGTGTTTGTTTGCACTGGGGGTGAGCAAGGGTTCGTGAGACGACAGGAATAAGTGGTTGAGATTTGTTGGTGAAATGACTGACATTCCGTCCCTTTGGTGTCAATGCATTCACACTTTGACATTTAGCAAAGCTTGAATGCCTTGAGTAAACTTGTTTTTATCAATTCCTACGCCTTTCATACATATTTGTCTACTTTGACATCAGTCCATTTTATCCACTTGTTCCTAATATACTACTGTGAAGTGTGACAACTCAAGCTGATGCATTCGTTAGCGACGTTCGACGTTGATTTTATTTGTCTATTTATCAGCAAAGCCTTTCAGCAACGCTGAACCCTTATATGACAAGAGTACATCTTTCTGGCCATCTAATCTTCAGTATCGAGTGCAGGTAGCAGTTGATGAATGTCTGTAATTTGTTGGAAATGCTTTACATGACACGCCAAGTCTCTCAACCATCACATAGAAGCACTGACTTGACTCATATTGGTGTCGAAAATCCGGATCTTGTTCCAAATGCTGAGTGAAGTAGATCCCTAAACTGATTTCAAATTAATGAAAACCTGTCTTGCTTTTCCAATCCTGGCTGCTTTGACGTCCTTGTCTGTGCCGCCGATTGTAGTTGAAACTATGCTTCCTAGGTAGGTGAAGAGACTACTTCCTTTAAGTTTCTCAAGTTAATGGTGATTGGTGCTTGCTATTCATGCTGTTGTTGATTGGGTATCTTCATCACCCATGTCTTCTCTACGTTCACTTCAATGGTGTCCCGTCTTCGCTGCCTCTTCTGCCAACTTGTTAGTTTTCGCCTGTAGATCTTCGAGTTTGTAGGATATTAGACACAAATCATCATCGTTTGCGGAATCCAGATCTTCTTCTCCGGTCAAACACCGTATGCCCATCTTCTCACAGCTCCTCACGGTTTACTGCATGATCTAGTTCATCACAATCAGGAAGATCATAGGTAATAGTAGGCAGCCTTATCTTACTCCTGTCCAAACTTCAAAGGCGTCACTAAGCTTTCCATTGTAGATCACTTGACATGTTGCGTCTTCATATAGCGGTTGAATGAGGCTGATAAAGGTTTGTGGTATTCCATAGTGTTGAAACAACTGCCAAATAACTTCTCGATCGAGGCTGTCGAAGGCCTTTTCAAAGACGGTAAAGTTGAAGTAGATAGTTGACTGGCATTCTTTACTCTGTTCAATGATGATGTGTAGTGTAGAGTTGCAAATTAATCCGCACATGATTCGTTCTTCCTGAATCCAACCAGCCTACTGCGGTGGTATTTCCGAATCCAGAGCATCTTTTAGTGTTTGCAGGATGAGATGTGGCTTGCTTGCTGCGGGTGGACAGCAGCATGGTTTAACGCTAGTTCTTGCAAAGGCTTATGGCTCTCTCTCCTTTGGAATTTTGAAAGGGTCTTTCATCCCTATCTATCTTTATTCTCCAGAAATTCAATTACTGAGTTGATTGAGTGTCGACTTCCAATGACAAGATTCGTAAGTGTTTTGTTTGAAGGGGTTCCATGAAATGAAACTAATGGTCGTAGTAGAGTATCCATCCTATATTTCTTAGGTCGAAGTTAGAACCTCAGTAGGAGTAGTGCGTTTGTCTGGATCCGCCATTCTCCATCTTTTGTGATTTGGCCAACTTTTACTGAACTCCTCAGTTTCCTTTAGATCAGATTATCCAACTGTTTAACGGGATAACGCTTAGCAATTCTTAGGTCTTTATAACGTAGTCCACCTTTGTGCATGACGACGGTTTACCTTTTTATTATCTGTATGTAGTATTACAACTGCCTCATGGATCATTAACGATATCAGTTCATTATTTTCGTTTGTGTTTTTCACAAGTTATTAATTTCGCTTTGATTTTCACTAAACTTAGTTTCTGTTGCTGTTCAACATTTAATCCTGAGATTTTCAACGTCGACTTCAAAGAAGTACACAAATCAAGTTCTTTTTTCTCATTTACAATATTATATATAGTTCAGTTCCGTTTGCATCAATATTCTACAATAATATCTAAGGAGAGAATGTTGTGACAATGTGAACAGAGAAACATTTGAAACTAGAGGCATCTGGGTGTCAGAATCTATCAAAGCTCCAAGCTTATTTTATACACAACAACAGTAATTGTGCAGTCTTCCCAATGGAGTATTGAAATCCATTCATCAAGCATATGGACATTCATGAAAAAGGCAATCAATCACAGTTACTGTCTAAACATTGAAGATACTGCTTGGCTACATAGACCTCTGTGAGTTGGATGTGTTCAGGTTCGAACCCATCACAGACTGACATCAGTTGGAGAACCATTGAAAAAACAACCTTGGAGCACTGGATTACACAGCTATTTCCTCCTAGTATGGGACTCCTCAGCAGTATACATCCACAATACAACCAGGCATCGAACCCACGACTTTCAAGTTCTCAATAGTTCCCCAAATAATCATGTCAGTCTGTGATGATGATGATGATGATGAATACCACCTCAAAATTACAAATCCCCATTCATCTCTAAAATACACAAGCAATTAATTATAACACAGTGGATATGAAGTAAAATTTATTAACAAAGACAACTTACTCTCCACTGAAGAGAATTTTTGTTGAACGACAGTTCACATCTAAACAACCACGAGTAGTGTTCACAGTCTGAAAACAGGGAAGATCAAGACTAGTAAAAAGTTGATAAAGGTATCGGTCTCAGCTGGCTATAAACCAGAATTATTCATTGAATCGGTTTAACGTTGAGACACTCAATAGGCATTCCTGAGTCAGTTAACAAGCACCAATTTAGACAGTTTAGTAATTTATGAGTCGGTTTAGATGAATAGCATTTCCAACAAACTATAGACATTCATCAGCAGCTGACACCTACGCTTGATATTGAAAATTAGATGGCGAGAAAGAATAAACAACGAGGAACTCTGGCTGGTGACGAACCAACCAACAACCTATCACCCAACAAATATGCAGTAGAAGAGAGTGGAGATGGATTGGGCATACACTGCGAAGGCTGACTCGAGACATTACGCGCCAGGCCAGGCGACCGAGTGGAATGCACAGGGGAAACGATGAGTGCGTGTACGAGGTGAAGGTGACATGGAGATGATGTGAGGAAGAAATGAAAGGTTGTGGGCAGTCGTGGCGCCATGTTCAAAAGACTACAGAGAAGAGAGTGGAATGGAGACGTGCTACTGAAGCGGTATCATCATCATCATTATCAACATAGGACCAGGCATTACTGCGTAACGGTCCGAGTTGCCACACCTCATATCAGCACATCAAGTAAAAAGGTAGTGAGGTGAAGGATGAAGATAAGTGAATGCAGTCAAAAGAAATATGAAGTACGAGAAGAAAGGAAAGAGGAGTGACAAAATAGTGAGATTCGGCATAGCGTTGTTAAGATGAGGATAATGTGTGTATACATCTGCGCCACTGACATCGGTTCTGAGCCATATCACCTAGGGTCTCCAACCACTGGTTCCTCTTGTCCCGTGGACCCCAACCACCTAGTCTACATCGTCCTACATGGCTTAAACCAACAGTCAGAGACTTCATACATTGGTGCACTGTTTTAGTGTGGCCACGTTGGGCCTTTTTCCAGCCTGGACCTACCTCAGCCAAACTGAAGCGGTATGTTCCACTAGGAACCCAAAAGAAAAATAATAATAGTAATAATTTAGATGAATAAAATACTTTGTCACAACCTTATTCAAACCAGAAACATCGATATCAGATCAGAACCAAAAGTGCTCGAATAGCTTGATTCTAACTATCCCAAGATCTAGATTAAAGCGAGAGCTTAGAAATCATTCTAGTCACTCAGGTGAATTCATCCAATATTGTTTTCGACTAGTACCTCTTCAGGCTTTAATCTTTATATAAATAATCGCTTAGTATATAAACAAATCCGAACAATCATGCAGATTTGTCGATCAATGGCAATATTTTAATAATAATAACAATAATAGTAATAATAATAATAATAATACTAACCGGCCACCACCTGCAAGTCGTGCAGAAATACCACCAGCAGCCAAACAATTACCAGTGAACACAAACCCTTCAACAAAAAGAAAATTCTTGAACTCCATAAAGTTCCTGACAGCCGGGAAAGAAGCAGGACCAGATGGAATCCCGCTGGAAGCACTGAAAACAGACTTAGAGACAACACCGGACATCCTTACACCACTATTTCAGAAGGTTTGGAAGGACGGAAAGGTACCTGCAGATTGGAGGAAGGGCCACCTTGTCAAACTCCCAAAAAAAGGAGACCTAAGTCTTTGCCAGAACTAGCGCGGAATCATGCGCTTGTCCATCTCAAGCAAGCAAAATATTAAGGCACATCATCCTGCAAACACTAAAAGATACTCTGGATTCAAAAATACCACCGGAATACGCTGGCTGGATTTAGGAAGAACAAAACATGTGCACATCAAATTGCAACGCTACACTATGCATAATCATAGAACAGAGCGTAAAATGCCAGTCAACTCTCTACTTCAACTTTATCGTCTTTGAGAAGGCCTTCGACAGCGTCGACCGGTAAGAATTTGGCAGCTGCTTCAGCTCTACGACTTAAAACCTATATCAATCTAATTCAACAGTTATATGACGACGCTAAATGCCAAATGACAAAAGAAAGCTCAGTGAACGCCTTTGAAGTTTGAACAGGAGTAAGACAAGACTTCAAACTATCCTGCTGATTGTGGTGGACTGGATCATGCAACAGACAAATGTGAGGAGCGAGAGAAGAGGGATACGCTGGCTGGACCGATGAAAAAGCCCTAGATGATTTGGATTTCATCGATCATAATTTATGTCTAATACAACGCAAACTCTAAGGTCTACAGGCAAAACCTCACAAGTAGGCAGAAGAGGCAAGGTGGGGCAGCGAAGACGGGACTTCCCTCAGATGAACATAGAGAAGACACAAGTGATGAAGATATCCAAACAAAAACAAGAAGCACCAATCAACATTAATGGGAGAAACCTAAAGAAAGCAGTCTCTTTCACCTACCTACCTACCTAGGGAGCATCATCTCAACTACAGAAGGCAGCATAAACATAGTTGAGGATGTCAAAGCCAGAATGGGAAAGACAGAAAGACAGGCCTTCCTTAAATAACCTAAAATCAGTGTGGAGATCTACTCCACTCACCATAAAGCGTGAACAAGTTCCAGATTTTCAACAATGACATCAGCCAAGTCAGTGCTTCTGTATGATGGTTGAGAGATTTGGAGCATTACGAAAAGCACTTCCAATGCACTGCACATATACATCATATCAACAACTGCCGCCTAAGCTCGCTGCTCACTCGGTACTGAAGATTAGATCAGATGGCCAGAAAGAATAAACAAAAAGGAATTCACTCTAGCAACAAACCAACCAACCAACACAACCTATCGTCCAACAGATATGCACGTTATCAGTTTTACAATCATACTCAAAAATGGAAGTGTTTCATATATTGTAACCAATACCTTCCATCCAATTATAACATGAGTAAAAAGGTGGTGTCCTAGGCTGGATTCTGACCCAGTGGCTCAATGGTAACGTGCTGGCCACGGAACCTGAAGGTCGCGGGTTCGATCCCTGCTGGTGGGGTCGTGGGTGCGCACTGCGGAGGAGTCCCATACTAGGACGAAACAGCTTTCCAGTGCTCCCAGGTTTCCTTTGTTCCTCCAACTGATGTCAGTCTACGATGAATAACAACTTGAAATAATCTACCTTCGTGAAACAGACAGGATTTTAGGCCAACCAAATGTGTTAGGTGATAGCTGATCAACTTCCAATTTAAGATTCATGATATAACATGAAAAATGTATACAGATAAAGAAATATTACCGGTGGTAAATTAATAAGATTTTTCATTTCATAGTTCATATTTTTCTGGATCAAATCAGCCAAAGTAGCTCGAGAACAATACTGATATAAACCATCTGAAGTAAATATAAGAAGAAAGAACAAACAAAACGATTAATAGGTAAATGTATACACACAACCCTAATTACTCCAATAAGAAGGAAAAAATTACATTGAACGGTGTTAAAATAATCGATTTAGTACTAACATAAAACCTGATATAACCATCCTAAATATCACACCACATACAGCAGATGATTTATGTCTAATGTTGCATAAGCTCGAAGATCTACAGGCAAAAACTAAAAAGTTTGCAGAAGAGGCAAGGCGAGGTAGATAAGACGAGACATTCTTCAAGTGAACGTTGAGATAACAGAGGTGATAGAGAGTTACCCAACCAACAACAACAATAACAAGCACCATTAACGGCATAAATCTAAAGGAAGTTGTCTCTTTCACCTACCTAGACAGCATCGTTTCAACTACAGACAGCACATGCATACATAAGGATGTCAAATCCAGGATTAGAAAGACAGCAAGACAGACCTTCATTCATTAAACTGAAATAAGTGTGCAGATCTTGTGAGCTGCACTGAACTTCACTCCACTCCACTCAGCATAAAGCGTCAACAACATCCGGATTTTCAACACTAATCTCAATCAACTCACTGCTTCTATCTGATGGTTCAGAGACTTCACGACTCACGAAAACCACTTCCAATTAACTGCACACATACATCACATCAACAGCTGCCGTCTACGCTCTATCACTCATCACTGAAGATCACATCACGTTAGAAGGTGAGAAAGAATAAGGAAGGTGTAACTGTGGCTTCGCAACGAACCAACCAATCAACAACCCATCCGCCAAACAAATATGCAGAAAAACAAGATGGAGATGGATTGGATTATATAATACACAAAGAAGACCGTTTGGGGTTATCACATGCCAGGTCAGGCAAGGCAAGGCAAGGCCAACCCATAGAGTGGAAGCCAAAGGGAAAAAAGGGAGTTCGGTGTCCGAGAGTGACATGGAAGAGATTGGGTGAGGAGGAAATGAAAGGTTGTGGGCAGTCGTGGAGTGAGGTCAGGTTGAGGAGACTGCAGAGAAGAGAAGGAAATGGTGACGTGCTACTGAAGTCCAATGTTCCACTAGGAAGCCAAGGGACAGACAATATTATAATAATACAGGAGATGATGATAAAAGGTAGAAAGGATTGGGGGATAATAAAATGTGATTTAAAGGTATCAGGGTCGCTGCGATCGACTCCGAGGCATGTTAACTAGAGGTTTCAACCATGCAGACTTACACGGCTCAGACGAAATGGTGGGGACTTCTTAGATTTAAGTCATGCTTTAATTTGGTCACTTCTAACCTTTTCCCAACCTAAGGAAGGCAGACAGTTATTAGATATTTGTAACATATATGTACCAGCCATTCGAGTCAAAAAAGATTTACAATCATACCAACCAATATACCTCTTCTACCTAAAACTCTACACACAACCTGTACATTATGCACCTATCGATTCTATAATATATGGATGATGTTAAAAAGCCTATAGCAGTTGAACAATTGGAGTCCTCCCATGTTCTCTCATACTTCGCAGTCATACAGGAGGACGGCGTCGCACATTCAACCTTAAGCAAGTAATCAGTAACATAGCGAAAGCTATTCATGTAGGTATTTCGACGTCTAATGGGATAGAGAATGAAGACAAACAAACAAAACATCCTTTTTACACTTATGTTTGCGAAAAATGATTTTTTTTAATACTGCATAGAAATAATATTCCTGAGGCATGATTTACTACACGCTAAAGAAATGCTTCGCGCACTGATCTAGTGTTTCAGTTTGACCGTCTTGAGACATTTTTCAGCCTGGACCTACTTAAGTTAACATTGTGCGACAAGCCGGACGGTGACTACGGATGCATAACTCAAATCGCAGCCATCTCAATCGATAAATGGCTCACAACTGCATCATCTGACTTTCATTTCCTCCCTAAAATCCTACACTGACTTCTGCGTAACTTATGTGATAACACCACAACACATGGTCTATGCTACGAAGGCGACGCCATTTTAACACCTGAAGCCTTCTAATGTCCTCTACCCTTAATGTCCATGTTTCGCAGATATACAGTGGAACAAAGTGAACTGTAGAATAGTACTGTCGACTCAAAGGATAATGGGATATCACTGTAGAGCCAAAGATGAGGTAAACTGCCAAAAAGCCTTATGTAATTTTTCTCGCTCACAACACTTTTTATCCGCCGACTTCTATTTAACTGAGTACAGTGCACTCGAAGTTAGAATGTCCAAAGTACAAAACTTCCTGTTGATGAGTACTAACAAGCATCAAACCACTAACAAGATTTCAGTAGATTCCGTTTAATTTTATTAAACACCTAACATAACACTCTGAGATGTTATGTGGTTAAGCCGAGTTACCACACTGGAAATATAACAGGAAAAATCTATTCTGTACTGATGGATAGACAACATACTATTAGCGGTTAGTTGGATGGTGTAAACATAGTCATTATGTGGTCATATTTCTGGAGTTTGCAGTGTAGAAAGAAAGTGAATGACTGCTTCGCATCATCTTAATTTAACCTGTCATTCGATTTAACTCCAGGAACTCCAAATTTATTAATTGACTATACTGTGGCGTAATCAATCAAAACTAGGTTTTATACTGGTTGGTACTCGTAAGTAAGTGATGTCCCCTGAAAGGTTCGAAGCCATACCACGCGGATATTGCAGTTAGTAACTTTACAACTGAGTTATTCAGGTTATAACTGAACGCCTACAGGACTAGGTCAAATACACTGACTAGTCATTGGAGAACTTCTGAGTACTGAGGAGAATAACCATTGTGGAGCACTTTGATTAATGTTATTATTTAGTTGGAGGCAATAGATAGAATTCAGTCAGCAATTAGGATTATACAATGTACAATACATATTATACAGACATAATTGACTTCCGAAGCGATTATACATTTTAATCTTAACAAGTCTATGAGAATTTACAGACGTAAAAAGGATATAACCAACGTATTGGTTTCAAGTGAAATATGAGAAAATGGAACTAAAAAACTATGATTTGAATAGCTGACAGCAAGTTGTAATTTATATGATAGCTGGCAGTGAAATTTAGGACATGTGTTTCATCCTATGCAGGACTCATCAACTGAATATACCAACAACCTAATACTTGACGCTGTTCTCACTGAAAATCAAACTCAGTATCTATTGCTTTAAATATCAATAATAAATATTTAAAAAAAATTCTCTAATTTTGTTTAAAAAGAAATAGCTATCTACCTGGTAAAAGAGTTTTATCTGTTTTCTCAATAATTTCTTCTAATGTTTTACGTAAATTAGCTCGATCTTTATCATTTTTTAAAGTGGATTGTGCAACAACTTCCAATGGTTTATTCACTTCTCCAGAACGTATATACTATCATTTCAATCAATGTATAAAGAAATTGAAATAAATGTATAAATTTGATATATATATATATATATATATATATATATATATATATATATATATATATATCATAAACATATAACAGTCTATTACTATTTATTGACGTCCTATTACTCGATGTACAAGAAGTGGCTATCATCCCACTGAGGTATAGTGGATAATGCCTTGGTGTAAGAAATGATGGATACGAAGTTTGAGTCTCGGTATGAACAACATCACTCACTGGGGTGCATCTACAATCAGCTGACGAGTCCCAAATAAGACAAAACGTGCATCCTGAATTCTTCTGTTAACCACAATTAACCAAATTACATAACAGTCTATTATTAAACAATGGTGTATATATTTGTTGTATCATTTAGTCGAATGTAAAAACACCGAAATGAAGAATGGAAAGTAGTTGCGCAATAATCTTTTAGACAATGGGAGTAATACGGAAGCTAAGGACTTTGGTAGATGAGAAATGTGGTGGTTATAAGTACTCACTTCACACATAGATAGATGGATGTAAAGAAGGTGAATAATGACACATGAGTCATAATGATGTTGATGATAATAATAATAAACTAACTAATTGTTATAAGATCGAAAAGGATTATGATAGTGTTAAGACCATGGTAAGCATAATAGATTGAAAATACTTCGTTTGCATGCAGAGAACAGGTTTGAACTGATGAATTACGAATGGTTCTTTTATTATCATCTGTCACCTGAGTTCCTAGTGGAACATAGAGTTTTAGGAGCACATCTCCATTGCACTCTCTTCTTTGCAGTCTGCTTAACCTTGTTCCACAAATGGACGAATCGGAGAAAGTTATATTGGTCACATATAGCTCACACTTTCCAAACATATCTCTCAGCATTATCCTGCATGGTTGTCGAGGTAAGAATGTAAATCAATTAACAGTTCAATTCTTGAACATTCAGTCAACTCTGGACATATATAGTTCCACCTAAGTCATCCTTCAGTATCATTTACACAGTCAAATGGAATAGTTCAAAAGGAGTACGCCTTCGATATTTGTACACAGTGGAAGCACTGGTAATTCATTAGTTCAAACCTGATCTCTGCATGCAAACGAAGTATTTTCAATCTCTTATGCTTACCATGGTCTTAACACTATCATAATCCTTTTCGATTCCATGACAATTAGTTAGTTTATTATTATTATCATCAACATCATTATGATCCATATGTCATTATTCACTTTTTTTACATCCATCTATCTATGTGTGAAGTGAGTACTCTTAACCACGACATTTCTCATCTACCAACAATTTTCATCTTGTCAACTTCCTGAGCTTCTGCATTATTCCCACCGTCTAAAAGATTACTTCTCTGCGACTCCATGGGCATGTTCCGTCATCATTACATTACATTATGAGCAGTTAGATACCATTCAGGCTGATCCTTAATCTTTCGCCAGCCAGATCAGACGACTATTTCGCTCGTTTACAGCCGATCTCATCAGTGGCGTACACATACAAAATTCAACACAGACGCGAATTAGTCTACACTATTTGAGTTTGGTTAGTTGACTTCCATGGCCCAGTATACCTTGAACACATATATCACACTATATGATCTTAACCGGCCAGTTTTCAATGATAACCCTATTGACACCATCGCAGTTGAAAAACTACTCAGCCGTGAATAATATAAACGTGGACCATACAATTCGTCAATCATTTGCTAATTGTTCAGGTTATATAAAGATCATTACAACAGGATTTATCCTCCTAAGAATACTTTAGTGATGATGTTTCAAATAGCGGTATTCAGTGATTCCTATTCGAATCATAGAGGGTAAATCAGTTGTAACAAGGTTTCAGATAGAGCTACCGACTGTTTGCCTACAACTATCTAATATCCAGAAAAGTGCATAACGATGGTTAGTCCTCTAACCTGGTGATCATATTACAAAAATGACTGACCAATATAATGTAGAGAATGTTTTGTAAATGCTCTTATAATTGATATCAGCACTTTAAGTTTATTAATCAAGAATAGTGGCTAACAGTAGGATCCAAGGCGCATGTTTCATCCTATTTGGGACTTGTCAGCTGAATGTACCTGCCTCCCACTAGGACTCGAACTTACAACAGGTCACTTCAAATACCAGAGCGTTATTCACTAGACCACTGAGTTACCATAGCCATCTCTTGTTCGATGGGTATAGTTTTAATGTTACTGTTGGTGAATGGACTGAATTGGTCGTCTCAATTGGCATATGGGCTCCTCCATGGATGTTTTGATATTACCTGTGTTTGAGTTATGTATTAATGATGGACAGTGGGTAGCAGTGGGATCAAAGACGCATGTCTCGCCCTATTCAGTGGTCTAGTGGATAACGTTCTGGCGTTTGAGGCATTCGGTCCCAAGTTCGAGTCCTAGTGGGAACTATATAGCTCGCTTGGAGTCACATACACCCAGTTGATGAGTCCTGAATAGGACGAAAGGCACATCCAGGATTCCGCTGTTAGCCACTATCCATCATTAATACATAACTCTTACACAGGAAGTATCGAGGCATCCGAAGAGGAGTCCATATGCCAACAGACATTGACAAATTCGACCCACTCAACGACAGGAAATTACAAACAACAACATTAAAATTTTAAATCATTAAAAACAGGAAACACCTACTTGAACCTTAGTCGATTAAGATAGTTTGGACGTATGCTGTGCGTGCTGAGTCATTACCTGCCTCGACGTATCATACTAAAGGAATCTGGATTAGGTTGAGAGTTCAGGGTGACCAGATCAAAAAGCGGCACCAGACAAAGAAGTCCCTGACTTTTAATCTGAGTCATGTAGGGAAATTTAGACTGCTTGTTTGGGGTCCGCAAGACGATGGAAATCAGTGGTTGAGGACATGGCTGGCGATCGGTGGCAATGGCGCTGCAGATGTATTCACTCCTGATTGAGCTTGAATAATCACATTAACCTTTACCTTCAGATTGTTTATTCTTTCACTCAATTTGTTCTACTTTGATATCACACTTTTTCTATCTACTTGTTCTTTGTATACTATTGTGAAGTGTGACAGCTTGAACCGATGTACTTCTGTGCGATGTTTCAGGTTAGTTTTATTGGTATGTCTGTCTCTCACCAATGAAGTACATTTTCGTCCACAAACATATTCTGTGTGAGGACTAAAGATAATAACTGGATGCCCAAACCTCAGTAGAGGAAGTGGGGTTCGAACCTGTGACCAGATGTTTGAAAGACGAGTTCATAGACCAATAAGTTACAACTGCACAAGATACTATTAGCTTTATAAGATAATCTATGACCGTTAGGAGATCAGTATCACCGATCACTTTGTGCAAGAAGAGACAATACTTAGATCACTAAACTTGGAATAAAAGATTACAGAAAGTGATCAACTTTATATACCTTGATGTTCAAGACTGCGGAAGCATTCAGACGGATAAAGAAATCGAAATAAACACAGCACCAACGTGCACATTCAGACAGTAGGCAAAGATTCACACCTATTGTGAGGTAACGACACTATCTGACAGCTAGGACTTTGGTACGTTGATCGACGGTGTTCGAACAAACGATCCACTAGTTGAAAGGTCAACAGAACACTTCATTAAAGCGTATAACACAGCTTACCCAGAATCTCATACAGAATAGACTGATTTCCGTAGGCATACTTCAAGGTAAAAAGAATAAGAAGAAAGGAAAGTGAGTGAGTGAGTGAGTGAGTGAGTGAGTGAGTGAGTGAGTGAGTGAGTGAGTGAGTGAGTGAGTGAGTGAGTGAGTGAGTGAGTGAGTGAGTGAGTGAGTGAGTGATCAAAACATACCTGTTCGACTAAATCAACTTGATAATTCTGTAATTCACCTTGAACAAACACTGGTTGCAATGAATTAGTAATGAAACTAATCACAAGTTCACGTTCGATAAGATTCACCTATGTTATGGAAAGTAAAGAATAACAAACAATAAAGACTACTAATATTTGGGAAATGAAAAACAACTGCTTACGAACAATTTAGAAACAAATAATCATAGAAGACTCCATGACGAATGTAGAATACACAGATGACATAATCCTATTAGGTAATGATTCAGAAAAGTTGCAAAGTTTTATGAACATTTTGAGTAGTAATTTGAGAATATTCGAGACATGCTTCAAGCCATCCAAGTATAAATTGTTGATACAGGAACGGTCTTCAATAGTATCTCGGCAAACAATAGAGAGTGATGTTGAAAGACGAGTCAACCTTAGTGGGTCAGTGGCTGTCGAATTCTCTGCACGGATATAAAATACTTGATTGGGTCAAGTGTACTGAGCTACAGTTCACTTTGTTCTACTGTATATCTGTGAAACATGAGCATTAAAGGTAGACGACATGCGAAGACTTCAGGTGTTTGGCCACTATTGCCTTCACAGTATGACCATGTGTTGTGGTGTCAACATGTGAGTAACATAGAAGTCAGATGTAGGGTCTTTAGGGAAGAGGAGGAGAAGGAAGTCAATTGATGGGGTTCTGAACCTTTTTCGGCTGAGATACCTGAGGTGAGTTCAGGCTGGAAAAAGGCTTAGAGTGCGGCCAGATTAAAACATGGTAACATTGCATGAATTTACTGGTTGTTAGTTTCAGCTATGTTGGGAGATGCAGACTAGACAATTGTGGTCCATGTGACAACAGAAACCATTGATATTGGCTCAGATTCGATGTAGGTGGCGCAGATGTATTTGCGCTTCATATTTATCTCAATCGTAATACTGAATTCAGCACTTTATCATTCTTTCGTCCTCTGATTGTCTGCTTTCTACTGCTTTTGACCAATTTTTCTTTTTTTCTCAATCCTTAATCTTACTAATTTGCTATTTGATGTTCTGATAATAAAGTGTGGCTACTCGGACGGTTAGATGATGATGATGATGAAACAAATATTTATACATGACGCACAACTCCTACTTGGGATTTCAGTAAGACATCAACTTCATATTTTGCGTTAAATGCTTACCATCACTTATGCCGAAATGGCAGAAATCACCTTTCCAAGCTTAATTACCGATAATGAACAACATAGTAGAGTTGTTTCACTGATTATTAAGACAATACAAAGTTGGTAGAGAAACTCTAACCACTTATTCATCATTCGACTGATAACTGTATTAGTTACCGTTTGATGTGCAGTTATTGCATACCTCTCAATTTGTTTCAAACAATAAATATACATGAACCAATACAGAATAAGACAAGTGATAAAGAGGGTATTAAGTACTCGTACAAACTACAAACATTAATCAACAGCTGCCGCCTAAGCTCACTCACTCGGTAGTGAAGATCAGATCAGATCGCTTAAAAGAATAAGCAACAAGGAACGCACTCTGGCCTTGCAACCAACAACCTATCGCCCAAAAAATATGTAGAAGGAAGTGAAGATGGACCGAGCATACACTCAGAAAAGTAAACAACCTCATCAGTTGTCATAGTTCAAAAAGATAACGGTGGTCAAACAGATCAGGCCTTCTTGTATCCTTGGATTCTAATGGTAATGTTTCACAGCTATATACAGTAGGATAGAGAAAACTGTAACACAGCACAATCGATTATAAGTGGGCAATCAGATATGCAGCAAAGGTGCAACATATCATACATATTCTAATTCTCGTCACCTGATTACACGGAGATCGATTTAGTCGCGAAACAATTCTCGTCAGACTTAGAACACCCAGATGACACAGTCCTGTTAGGTGAAGATGTTGACAAGATGCAGAGTCTTCTGAACACTTTGAGTGGCAATTTGACATTGCTTAGCATGCGTTTCTCACCACCCAAATGCAGATTGTTGCTCCAGGATTGGTCCTCAACGGTGCCGCGGCTAACAAGATAGTGAAGTTGTTCCGTGTCGACCACTTCACTTAACTGGGAAGTAGGATCAGCCCTGCCTTGGTGGCTCAGAAGCCGATAAAATCTCTGCACGGATACAAAAGACTCGATTGGCTTTCGCCAACTTACACCACCTGCGGCGCCGCCGTGATATTCGTTTGTCTATTAAGGGTAGCATGTGCTGCAGCTGCACAGCAGTCCACTCTCTTCTACTGTATGGCTGTGAAACATGGCCGTTGAAAGCGGAAGATTTAGGAAGGCTTCAGGTGTTTGACCACTATTGCCTGCCTTCGTAGTATAGGACGTATTCCATGGTGTCACCATGTGAGTAATGCAGAAGTCAGATGTAGAGTTTTAGGGAGTAGAGGTAAATCAGTTGACGAGGTTATGAACTTTCATCGACTGAGGTGGTTGAGACACGTACTACGTATACCTAGTCACTGATTACCTCGTCACACAATGTTGGCTAAAGTAGGTCCAGACGGGAGAAAACGCCCGAGGTAGCCAGACTAAAACATGGCACCAATGTATGAAGTCTCTGACTGTTGGTTTCAGCCATGTGGGGCGATGCAGACTACGTGGTTGGGGTTGGTGGGACAAGAGGAACCAGTGGTTGGAGACTCTAGGGGATATGGCTCATAACCGATGTCAGTGGCGCAGATGTATACACAGTATCATCTTAACACTATACCGATTCTCACCATGTTGTCCTTTCTTTCTTCTCGCGCTTTGTATTTCTCTTGAGTGTATTCTCTTATCTTCATCTTTCACCTCACTACCTTTCTACTTCATGTACTGGTATGAGGTGTGGCAACTCGGACCGTTACGCAGTAATGCCTGGTCCTTTGTTGATATTGATTGACTGATTGATTGAGTGGAGTGTAGTAGATCTCCACAATGATTATTTCAGGTTAATGAAGCCCTGTCTAGGTTTCTTTTCGATCCTGGCTTTGACATCCTCATCTGTATCACCTTCAGCTGCCTGAAGTTGAGATGATGCTTCCTAGGTAGGTAGGTGAGAGAGATTACTTCCTTTAGGTTTCTTCCATTGATAGTGATTGTTGTTGTTGGTTGGGTGTCTTCATCACCTCTTTCTTCTCTAGATTCATAGTAATTCTCGTCTTCATTGACTCTTCTGTCATCATTGGCGAAATCCAAATCTTCTAGGGTCTTTGTATGAATAACCTAAATTTGTCAAATCATAACTATCTCAGATAGTCAGACTGATAACTTCAGTATTGGTGTGAATGGAAGCATGTGAATGGATCAATCTCGACAAGGTGGAAAACAAAGAACCTAATGTATACCATCATATTATGTGATTGGTCAACTGTCTATTTATTATGAATATTTATTATGAATAATTTGAGAAACGAAACTTCGAATCATACTCTACAATTATCATTGTACCATAAGATGACAAGTATGTTCTTTTCCTTCCGATTAACCACTTTGTAGTGAGAAATTGGCCTACAGTGTGTTAAGGTCTATAACAGGTAAATAAGGAGATAGTTATTACTGTCACACTGATTAGCTTGATAATGTCAAACGTATGGAGGGATAAAAACGTTATTGCTTACTCGAGGAAAATCATTTGGTAGAATACGTCCAGATTGTTCCAGTATAGCTACATGAAAATGAGTAAATAGAATATGAGGACTGATTAGTTAACATAAGCCAAACGCCAGAATACCGAAACATCGTTTGAATAGGATTTGTTCAGACAAGTAGGATTAACTATGACTCTCTCGTGTTGCCAAATGCCTTGCCTCGTCGCTACTGGCTAAGAAAACTGGAAATGATATGTGCACCATTGATTACTGGTGACAACTAGTTAGACAAATCTGGTTAGCTACCTATTGGTTTGACTCGGCTTGAACCAATACACAACCAAAGTTGAATCGAGGGTAATCGTAGTCGATCAGATCTATATCCGTTGATCAGTGGCGCGAGTCTTCAAAGGATGGACGAGCTAGATGACCTTCCGGATTTCACCTAGTGCGCTGGTAGCAGTGGAACCGAAAGGCAAGGGAATCTATCTTCCTTATTCCGGTAGTCCCAAGAGAAGTGGTACAGTCAGTCTTGCGAAGGGGAGGTGGCAATTCAGTCCAGGATGTTGTAACCACTGGCCAGCGACAAGTAGCCTGTCATCAGCCTTCGTGCCTGAAGTGTTGGTGAGAGGGGGATAATCTTCCTGGAAGGTGACTTGCATCGTTTTTTGCTAGATTGTAGAGACTCAGTGAGATGGATTCTCATGCACGTTTAGCCACGATGAGGTGAGTGTGATCAAACGACCCGATTACCCAGTGAATGTGGATGTGGTGAAGCCACGACAGTAGGGGTTTTTGGTCCAATAAACGGGAAATAGGAATCTCAGATAAGTATTATCAATCGTACTATTATATTTACTTTGTAAGCCATTTTAATAAAAACTTACCGTATACTATTATTGTATGCTTCAGCTAAGGAGATCAGTATCAACCCCTTGCTAATTATTTCCGGATGAGTAGTTAGTCTGAAATAACTAGCTACTAGTAAAATCAGTTATTTCATTCTTTGTGGATTTTAATACGCTACAAACATATAATTAAGTTGTATGTGGGTATGGAGTTGTGGCTGACTGGCTTTTACAGTTAAATGTCAACCAAGGGGTCGAACTATCGAGCTTCAGGCAGTCAGGCAAAATCACTAGCCACCTCACACAATGGGTGTGGCTTATTGCATACTTTGAAAAGATGAAAAAGATTTGTAGCTCAAGATGAAGAGAATGGTACTTTAGTGCTCTTTGAACTTTGATATGTTGGCGTAACGTTTCATCATCGAGCTTGATGACACCTTCAGGACTAATCTCACCAAGAAGTGAAGCATATTCGATTCTTACACAAACGTTAAGATACTATTTTTATTGTGCTTTGACCAGTAGTACGAACTAGCAGGCTATGAACGATTCGAACCCTATGCGCAAACGAATCAACTCTAAAGCAAATCAGAACGTCAACCACCACCACCACCACAACAACAACAACAACACCACAGATGCTCAAAGACAAGAAGAGAAGACAGACCGCTGACTGAGAACTTTCTACTGTCTCAACAACAGTCAATACAATTGACAGCGATGGTGAATATATATATATATATACATTTCTGAACGACCTTGACAACACACTAAATTGGCATATAGTTAACAACCAATGAGAGTTCAGCGTTGAGAGGAGAGGGAAGAAAAACTAGTAACGGTGTGAAAACAGTAATGATAGGTTATTTTTAAGGTCATAGGGAAAACAGCAGGCAAAAGCTATGCAAAGTTAAGGGTATATAGCATATTGACCTTAGTGCTGTCTAATTGACGTTGGGGAAAAACTTTAACCTCTTTGATCTTTATACTCTACCACAGTGCTAAAGTAATCCTTCATTAAGTTTATTACTAGTCAAGCTTAATATCTTAGTTAGTGAGTACAAAGATGGAAGAATATCTCGCAAGCCATTTTACTGAAGATGCTACAGTCATTCACTTACTAATTAAGTGGTAACTGGAGAGTAACCAACTTTATGTTGTCTATTCATGACAGCTGACCGAATAACTATCGACCATTTTGCAATATAGCCACCAAACGAAGAGGTTGACAATTACAATGCACTCGGGTAGATTTTAGTTGGTTCGAAGCGATCGTTACGAAGTCTTGGGTCTAGGTTTTGAGTTTGTCGATACTCATCAGCAAGGTATGCCTGTGACCTCGATCTCACATCAGCAAGTGGTACGGTTAAAGACGTTGTCATAGTACTATTCACGATGTGATTGATCTCTTGTACGACTGGACTAGTTAGATAGAGTGTATTAAAATCAATAGGAACCGCATGTATCTTTCAGTTATTGTAGACATATAGATTAAGCGCTAAATTCATGTGAGAATAGGCGAGTATTCTGCTTGGGAAATTCACGTAAATAAGTTCAACATGAACAATACGCAGGTATCGCGTACAGATTCTTACACAACACTCTGCAGGTTACTAATATTAAAATGAAGAATTTAGAAAGATGACATCAAGATACTTTTATAAAGTTATGAAAAGCATAAGCAAATCTCATAGTAAATATTCTAGAGAAACTCAACTCACCACCATACAGCCATTTAAAGAAAGCACGTAGTTGTGTAAGACTTTTTTCAATAACTCTGAAATTATGACGTAAATAGAATATGTGATAATCATCTTACATTTTCTCAATAGGTACATAATTCCCATTTTAACATTAAAAACAAGATATTCAGCGAAGAGGACTCTTTCTGACGAATTTATTCTCAAGTCGTACATTCCTATATTTATATCTGAAGGAAGGGAGGGAAGGAAGTGAAGGTACCTGCAGATTGGAAGAAGGGCTACCTTGTCAAACTCCCAAAGAAGGGAGACCTAAGCTTTTGCAAGGACTGGCGAGGAATTATGCTCCTTTACACCCTTAGCAAGCAAAATATTTAGCCGCATCATCCTGGAGAGACTAAAAGATGAGCTGGATTCAAAATTACCACCGGAACAGGCTAGATTCAGGAAGAACAAATCACGTGCCGAACAAATTGCAACGCTACGCTACATATCATCATTGAACAGAGTAAAGAATGTCAGTCAACTCACTACCTCAATTTTACCGTCTTTCAAAAGGCCTTCGACAGCGTCGATCAAGAAGTTATTTGGCAGGCAGTTGCTTCAACACTACGGTTTAGTGCTACAAATCTTTCTGAACTTCATTCAACAGCTATATGACGACGCCACATGTCAAGTGATTCACAATGGAAAGCTCAGTGACACCTTTGAAGTGAAGACAGGAAGGAGACAAGGCTGCCACTTACTATCACGCATAACATTTTTGGTTGTGGTCGACTGGATCATGCAGCAAACCGTGAGGAGCTGTGAGAAGATGAGCATACGCTGGCTGGACTGATGAGAAGACCCTAGAAGATTTGGATTTCACCAACGATGATTTACGTTTAATAGTGCACAAACTCGAAGATCTACAGGCGAAAACTAACAAGTTCATAGAAGAGGCAGCAAAAACAGGACTTCAATTAAATGTAGAGAAGACAGAGATCATGAAGATACCCAACCAACAACTGCATCAACAACAAACACCAAGCACCAATCACCCATTACCAGGAGAAACATAAAGGAAGTAGTCTCTGTCACCCACCTAGGAAGCATCTGTTCAACTACAAGTGGCAGGTAAGGTCATCATACGCCAGGCCAGGCACTCAAATGGAATTCAGAGGGGAAACGAGGAGTTGGGCGTATGAGATGAGGGTGACATGGAAGAGATCATGTGAGGAAAAAATGAAAGCTTGTGGGCAGTGGTGGCGCCAGGTTGAAAAGACTTCAGAAAACAGAGTGGAATGGAGGCGTGCTACTGAAGCCGTATGTTCCACTAGGAACCCAAGGGAAAAATAATAATAATATAATAATAACCGCCTAATTTCAGACAATATGTCTGACTACAGTATAACTTCTTGTATTATACCATCGTTGATTGGACCGAAATGACCGGTCTCTATTGGCATATAGGCTGCTGTGTGGATGCCTCGATATTACTCGTATTCTAATTATAGTAAACATCGACAGTGGCTAACAGTGGAATCCAGGTATAATACAAGCAATTATACTAAAACTATACCCGTCGTACAAGAAGTGGCTATCGTGACTCGGTGATGTAGTGGGTAGTTCTCTGGCGTTTGAAGTAATCGCCCCCAAGTCCGAATCCCGGTGGGAACAACATCACTCACTGAGAGTCAGGGATACGTAGCTGACGAGTCCCAAATAAGACGAGATGCGCATCTCAGCCTCCACCACTAGCCACTATCCATGTTTACCATAATATGTATGACAGTATGTAATTTTTTCAAGGAATTCACTTCGTGAATAATACTTTCAGACGAAATGGTTATTACATCGGAACGACGTTAATAATAAAAAAAGTATTCAAGGCAATAATGTGAAATAACCAGCTGGTTTTGGATGGTCATCCGATCCATAATAAAGAATCAACAGAAATTCAAGCATAATTTTGGTGGTGGTGGTGGTTCATTTAGACGATACAAAAATCTGCAATGTTTTTGTATCGAGATATCCACTTCCATATAACGTAACATTTTTTTTCTCTCCTTGTTTATTGACTAGAATAACGGAGAGTTGGAAACAGTTTAAAAATGTGCAAGAGTACATGAAATAATCAAAGGAGAATATTTAAATGATTGAAACAAATTGAAAGGAAAGAATTCGATGAATAATGTTCAATGGATAAATTTGGTAGCCCAAGGTAGAGAAGACAGAGGTGATGAACATACCCAACCAACAACACCATCAGCAACAACAAACACCAATCACCATCAGCGGTAGAAACTTGAAGGAAGTAGCCTCCTTCACCTACCTAGGCAGCACTGTTTCAACTATAGGCGACACAGGCACAAACGAGGACGTCAAAGCAGCCAGGATCGGAAAGACAGCAAGACAGGCGTTTATTAGACTGAAACCAGTGCGGAGATCTTCTGCACTCAGCATATGGGGCAAGATCCCGATTTTCAACACCAATTCAGACAAGTCAGTGTTTCTATATGGCTGAGAGACTTGGTGCGTCAAGAAAAGCATTTCCAACAAACTACAGACATTCATCAACAACTGCCACCTACGTTCGCTCACTCGATACTGAAGACTAGATGGCCAGAAATAATAAGCAGAAGGTACTCTGGCTAGTGACAAACCAACTAACAACCTATGACCCAACAAATATGCAGTAGAAGAGAGTGGAGATGGATTGAGCAGAAAACTAACCATGGGCCGAGAAGCGCTTGGTGAAATGAACGAGAATGGAGAATCGCTTGTAGAATTTTGTGAATTCAACGATTTGGTGATTGAAGGCACTGTGTTCAAGCATAAGGATATCCACAAACCGACATGGATTTCACCAGACACCAAACATACTAAAAATCAGATCGACTTCATGCCAATGTGAAGACGCAGCCTACTGGAAACAAGATAAAGAAGGGGAGCAGATGTAGGTTTACACCACTCACTATCTAGTGCAAGGAACCCACCTTTCAAATCAAGTTGAAAGCCTTCAAAGAAGTTGGTGATATGCCATAGTTCAAGTTCAACACCCAGAAACTGAAGAATGAAATTTCAAAGGACATCCTTACGTCAGTCATTAAAACAAAATGGGAGATATTAAGCAACATCCCTGAAGAAACCTGCATGGAAGAATAATGGAAGTCTTTGGAAGAGATGGAAGAGATGGTGGAAGGAAACCACCATAGCCGTGTTAGGCAGGAAGAAGAAAGAAGACAAGGGACGGATCTCCACGGATACATGGAAGCTGATAGAGAAGGGAGAGGAGGATAGTGAAGCAGAAGATGAACCAGTGCAGTGCAGTGCATGCGTGAACAACGAAAAGAGGAACTGAACACAACTTATAAAACGCTAGATGAAGAAGTGAAGAAGAGTGCGCACAAAGACAAAAGACACTTCGACAACACACCTCCAAGTAAAGCGAAAGACTGCTGGTAGGAGAGACCTGACAACATATCGAATAACCAGGTTACCATCCGGAAGGGAAGAGATCAATGCAGATGAAACCAATGAAAGATAGTCAAGGAAAGCTACTTACCGAAGAGGATAAACAAAGGAAACGATGTGCTGACCACTTCAGAAAACTCTTGAATCAACCACCACCTGCAACTTGTGCAGAAATGCCACCAGTAACTGCAGAATTACCGGTGAACACAAGCCCTCCGACAAAAGCAGAAGTCCTAGACGCCATAAAGGTGCTGGAATCCGGGAAAGCGGCAGGGCCAGATGGAATTCCGCCAGAAGCGCTGAAAACAGACGCAGAGACAACAGCGGACATGCTCATACCACTGTTGCAGAAGGTTTGAAAGGAGGGAAAGGTACCGGTCCATCGGTTGAAAGAAGGGCTAACTTGTTAAGCTTCCAAAGAAAGGAGACCTAAGCCTTTGCAAGAACTGGCACGGAATCATCATCCTGTCCACCCCAAGCAAAATATCATGCCGCATCATACTGGAGAGATTAAAAAGTGCTGTGGATTCAAAATTACGACTGGAGCAGGCTGCCTTTAGGAAGAACAAATCATGTGCGGATCAAACAGCCACGCTACGCTACATACAATCATAGAACAGAGCATAGAATGCCAGTCAACTCTTTACCTTACCTCAACTTCATCGATTTTGAAAAGACCTTCGACAGCGCCAGCCGACAAGTAATTTGGCAGTCAGCTACTTCAACACTACGAATTTAGTGCTACAAACCTTTATCAACCTCATTCAACACCCATATACCATATGATGCTACATGCCAAGTGATTCACAATAGAAATCACAGTGACGCCTTTGAAGTGAAGACAGGAGGAAGACAAGGCTGCCTACTATCACCTATGATCTTCCTGATTGTGGTGAACTGGATTATGCTATGAACTGTGAGTAGCGAGAAGAGGGGCATACACTGGCTGGATCGATGAAAACATCCTAGAAGATTTGAATTTCACCGATGATGATTTATGTCTAATGTCGCACAAACTTGAAGATGTACAGTTGAAAACCAACAAGTTGGCAGAAGAGGCGTGGCGTGGCGCGGCGAGGCAGCGAATACGGGGCATCCTTCAGGTGAACGTAGAGAAGACAGAGGTAGAGGTGATGAAGATACCCAACCAACAACAACAAGCACCAATCACCATGAACGGCAGAAGTCTAAACGAAGTTGTCTTTTTCACCTGTATACCTAGGCAACATCGTCTCAACTACAGGCGGCGGCACAGATGAGGATGTCAAAACTAGGATCGGAAAAGCCAGATAGGCTTTAACTAATCTGAAATCAGTGTGGAGATCTACTGCAGTCATCATAAAGAAAAAGATCCAGATTTTTAACACTAATACCAAGTCAGTGCTTCGATATGATGATTGAGAGACTTGTGACGTTACGAAAAGGATTTCCAACAAACTACAGACATTCATCAGCAGCCACCGCGTACGCTCACTCACTCAGAAATGAAGATCAAATCAGATGACTAGGAAGAATAAGCAACAAGGAACTCTGGCTGGTGACGAACCAACCAACAACCTATCACCCAACAAATATTCAGTAGAAGAAAGTGGAGATGGATTAGGCATACACTGAGAAAACTATTCGAAGACATTACGTGCCAAGTCCTCGAGTGGAACCCAAATGGGGAAATGACGAGTTGGGCTTCCTAGCTGAGGGTAACATGGAGGAGAACGTGTGAAGAAGAAATGAAAGCTTGTGGACAGTTGTGGAGCCAGATTAAAAAGACTGCAGAGAAACGAGTGCAATAGCGATGTGCAACTGAAGCTCTATGTTCCACTAGGAGCCCAAGGGAAAAGTATTAAACCAATAATAATTTGAGTTTTTCAAGTCTGTGAGTTTTAATCGATTGTTCATAAGCCTGAGAGAAACACATACACACACACATTTTCTGCAGATGGAGGCTACTGTCGGAAAGGTTAATCACAGGAAAAACTACCTACAACTATCACGAATCAAAAGGACATTATGAGGAAAATAACGTAAAACTCACTCCCACCTAAAGGTGTTTACACACGCATACATACTCTATAAAACATAGTTCAACTGTTAGACACCAATCAGCATATGAGACATCTGTTGTTTACCAACTGCTGAAAAATCGAAAGATGGAAGACAATCTGAACACCTGATAAAATGGTTAACAGTTGAATGCCTAGATCCGCAAGCCATAGATAACTTTATACATCAAGTGTTATTCAACTGACCTGATAATGTATAATCGTTTATCTCAAAGAAATGTGAATTGATAATGCATAAATTCTCACACAAAAACGTTCAGTGTAGCATTAGACTTCTCAGCAGCAAGTAAACAAGATCTCAACCCCACCCATCCAAGAATCGAACCCCGGACCGTTAGATTTCAAGGTGATCACTTACTTACATCAGTTAAATTACGATAATACATAGTAAAAACAACATTTTGTAAACTTACAGTTGTAACTCTTGAGTTTTCTGTAGAGTCATGCCAATAGTTCGGAAAAGAGTAAGTGCTTTATCAGTAGGAATCTGTAATTCATGACAAAGTTGTGTATCTCGTAAACTTCCCAATACTTCAGATACATGAAAGAGAAGACGTTGTAAGAAGCTGGAAATAATTAAAATAATAAAGGCTATTTTAAAAGACTCGTATTTAACATATTTGTATAGTTGACTAGTGGTAGACAGGAATGCTCAACTGATATTGAATGTCATGGATAAAATCAACATATGCTCATCAATCTAACACTTATCCACACAATATTCTCAAATAATTATGATAAATATAGTTGAAGATAGGATTGCTGACTAAAACAACTGGAATCGTAATCTTATTTAAGCATAGAAAATGTAACCGACATAACTATGAAATAATTACTAGAAGTAGTATTCATCATGGATTGTCATAAGTTGGGGAACCATTGAAAATCTGGGAGCACTGGACATCTGTTTCGTCCAACTAGTATGGGACTCCTCAGCAGTACGCACCCATGACCCAGCTAGGGATGGAACTCAGGACCTTCAGGTTTCACAGCGAAAGCGCTAACCATTCAGCCACTGTGTCGGTTTCCAGTGGTTCACAATTTCCAACTTCTGTCAATTCATGACATAGCGGGACTATCACCCAAGGTCTTCAGTTAGCATCTACTTCACTTCCGACTGGTTGACCCCACACACGCATTCGCCGTGAAGCCTGAAGGTCTTGAGTTCCATCCCTATCCGGGTCGTAGGTGCGTACTGCTGAGGAGTTCCATACTAGGACGGAACAGCAGTCCGGTGCTCCCAGATTTTCAATGGTTCCCCAACTGATGTCAATCCATGATGAATACTACTTCTAAAATAAAAATCGCCATTCACCTTAAAAATAATTACTAGTTGAATAATCCAGTTCAAATTTTGTTTATTTTATATTTATCTACTTCTCGTCTAATTGCATACTACTAGTGGAACGTCTGAATATCTTTCGAATACTATATATTTTAACGTTGTTGTCTAATTAAGTTAGGTTATTTGATTCGAATAGATTAGATTACATGGTGACTTTGAAGAAAAGAAAACCGCGACGAATCCAGTAATCACATGGACATTAGTGCACCAAGCAATGAACCATGGCATACGATACTACTAAGCTATGGAGTGTGGTTCAAGTACACAACCTATTCGGTTGGAAGTTGAATTACTAGATCAATGATCTACAGGACCACAAGAAAACTTATATCTGTCTTGATTCACTGGCACAACAATTTATCTAGAAGAAAAAGTTAGATGCTGCATACACTTTAATTACAATTTGAATAATTGGCTTATAAATTTTAAAGACTGTCAAATACAGATCACAAAAATTTTTTAAGTTGTACTTCTGAGTTCGATCTCAGCTGTTTTAACTTTAGCGGGATAAAGGAAACTTCAATTCGTATTTCATTGAACACTTTGTAGGCAAAAATTAGGTAATCAAATGGTTAATTAACCTGTCACCAAGTTTGAATTTAAAGTTTTCGCGCCCTTCTCTACACTGCGATCAGTCTTTCAACCATTTTCAAGGTTAAACGCATGTTATTGGTTAGCGCTACTATGAATATATCAGTATTAACATACTTCTGTGGTAGGCAATGAACCACACTTACTGTGTGAGGAGTAATAATAACACTAGATTGCTCGAACCTTAATTGGTGGAGCGCAGCTCGAAACCATGGCTCAATAGTTGAAAGGTATTTTCCTAAACCAATGAGTCATACTTTGGAAGGCTGAAGTTAGTGGCATCTACATATTGAGTTAGGAGTAAGCGATTGCGACAGATATTCAGCTACTTAAAAAACTATAACAAATATAGCTGGTATACGCAGTTATTTGTACTGGACAATGGAGCACATTGAAAAAGAGTATGCTTCGAATCCATGACCTACCAGTTGAAGACAACTGCCTAGTTACATGAGTCATAACTTCCCAAACAAACGAAAATACATACTGATAATCCTATCTCTTATAAGATATCATCTTAAATTCACCAAAATAAATATTCCTTTTCATTACTGTTACCGATATCTAGATGAAATTCATACACGTTAACATTCAACTTGGAAACAATGAGTCCGACAACTGGGTATTCACTATAAGCCCCCCCCCCCCAATCTAATAACTAATCAATGAAGAGAATATTAATTTAACTAGTCAATTTCCACTTGGAACATAGAAGAAAAACGTCAATCAACACAATGACTTATGATAGACATGATTACTATAGACATCATCCTGATAGCGACAAGAAAAAGTGAAAGCAAAATACACTGAGCAATAGTGGACAATATTTGTAGTTCAGATGGATAGTTTCGGTCGTACTGTTTTCTCTCAGACGGGTTGTTTATCTATCATTATCTCACACCGAATTTCAATCATTTTGACTACTTTCTTCTCCATTAATTCATCTTCATGCTTTCTTGCTTGATGTCCCTATAAATAGTGTGGCAACTTGAACCATTATGAAGTAATGCCTAATCCTATTTTGATATTGATGATGATGATGATGAAGCATTACCTAGAAATCATAATTTCGCGCTAGAAAACTCGCCCATTTATAAAGATTACCCATAGTTGGCAGTCCTACTATGCAGTTCTTCTGATTAATGGATATCAGTTTCATGAGATTTTAGTTTTACTAATGACTATTTAATTCTAATAACTCAGATGATCAGTACTTTGGGAAGTCAGCAAATACATCATATGATTTCTTGTTTTAGTTAATGTTCATATGCTAATTTTTTTCATTTGAGTAGTATATAACATATTACGAAGAAAAATAATCGATAGAGATTACATTACATTGGTTGTTGGTTCGATTCCCACTCTATTTACTTCGACCTGGATAACTAGATAATATACTAAATCGATTTACACAATAAGTATGACTCATAGTGAGTATAGATGCACACCAGATTGAGTGATCCCCGTCAAATGCTCACCAAAGATTTTGGACAGCAATTGTACTATATGGCGTATCGATTAGAGCCATGACGTCTTTGTCTACTGACTTGATGAACGTTTAAGGATTCTTGTATGATTAAAGTATCAACATTGTAGAAGAGGTATAGTGTGATAAGAAGTAAGTGAATCTAAGCAACAACTTGTTGTCGTAAGGTTATCCACTGAATCATACTGTTTCACTGTATGGTGTATTAAATCAACCTATTTACTGTTTAATTTAGGTATTCACTTTTCTACATTAACGACGGATAACAATAAATAACTCGTAGTAGTTGTTCATTACTGTCTAGTAATTAGTCCTTCGAAAGCTTCTTTAAATCTTTATGTGGGATTACAACCTAGTGGTCTAGGGATTCGAGTTCCATCTGGTTGTGTCGCGGGTTCGAAACCAGCTCCACATACCGACGAGACGTGAACAGGTAGAGAGTATCATTTGCCATCAAAAGATAGGTGTGATTCGTAACCGACTGCATGAATATGTGCACCAGCTTCCTGAGTGTGTTCTCTGAGTTGCGTTCTTTAATCATTGAACTGTCATCATCTTTCTTCTACACAACATCATCAACACTTACTTCAATGTAAAGTGAACTACCAATATCTCTCCTTCACTGATTCACTAGTACCTTACCTTACCCAGACCAACTGCCTCATCATTCGTTGTTTACTTCGATTGTTGTGTCATTGACTGACTGTATAGATACTCATGTTAGCTGGCTGTTCCACTCCTTCATCTATCACCTTTCTATTCTTTATCATTTTTATTATTCATTCATACATTCAGTCTATGTCTATACATCTGTTGATATTGCTGACTAATTGACTCACTGACATCAACTACAACCTTCCACAAATCCTCTCATATTCCTTGTGTTTACTCTCTCCGTCCAACATTTCTACATTGTCAAAATTAAACTCATCTCCACAGTTCTTATCCACCTGGATTGAAACCAGTGATCAAATGTCATGGCTGACGATTAATAGCCAATTGGTGTTCATGTAGACGAAGGCGAAGAGGGTGACCATTTTGTTCAATGTAGTCTTGACTACAGTTATTCCAGTTGATTTTGTAAACGATGTTCGGTTTGTCTTCCTCGATTGTTGCATCCACTGGTTTCGATAATAAATAGTGTTTGGAGGCGACTTGTTGGTTTATGAGGCGCCACACCAATTCCAAGTCGTCGTCAGTAATCTTGTCGTGATCCCTGATAGACTCTTTATGTACGGTAGGATGATCCGTTCGTTGAGCTCTGTCGAAGACTTTGTAGTTGATGGTGTACGAGATAGGCATCTTCTGAAAGAGTTTCACGGGTAGTCGTTCTTCTCAAGTATAGACATCAGATAATCCTCTTTGTTTCTTCGTGAAGTTATTGCTACTATAGTTGATGATTTGATGAGTGTGCTATGACTTCCTTTATACTTGAGCTTCCAGTTTTCCGGCATTTGTTCCACTGACTAAAATATTCAGGAATGTCAGTTGGTTGTTCGACTCCTTCTTCATTGTAAATTTAATGTCATCACTATCACTGCTTCTGTAATTAGTCCGGATATCAGTGAATCCGTTGGGGTTCCTTTCATCTTATTGTATTTACTGCTATCATTATGTTTCGTTTATAAGGCACTCAGAAAAAAGGAATCAAAATTTGACACCTCGTTTACAAAAATGAAATACTCACAATTGAATTTGTTGAAAGCATATTGTTTTAATTGATTCATAAGCTTTTAATGTTGCTGTACCCGTACGCTTTAAACTAGCTGCAGTCCAATCTTCAACAAGAAATTTACGAAGATCAGAACTAAAAATGTATGAAGTATAGAACAAAATAACTAAGTGGAATTTATACATTAAAATAAGATAATGTCTATTGAAGTCATTGAGCATACCCGTAATATATATATTCAGCTGTATACAATGAACATATATGAAAGATATTTTCTTTCCAATCAGTAAACATTATAACCATAAAGTACACATTCTTTTTGGTGAATCTTCATGCTAACTATCAAAAAAAAGTCACTAAGATACACTTTTACTGCAACCATTGAACATAAGGAACTTCATAGACCACAATCCTGTATAACTTTACATTATCGTTGACTTCTAGTTTAATACTCTAACATTCCCAAATCGAATATTAGGCACAGAAATGAACCCTTGGGTTCCTAGTGGAACATACGGCTTCAGTTGCACATCGCCATTTCACTCTGTTATCTGAAGTCTTTTCAACCATAACTGTCCACAAGCTTTCATTTCTTCTTTATATTATCTCCTCCATGTCATCCTCATCTCAGACGCCCAACTCGTCGTTTCCCCATTTGGATTCCACTCGATGGCCTGGCCAAGCGCGTGATGTCCACAGTCGGACTTCTCAGTGTATGCTTAATCCATCTCCACTCTCTTCTACTGCATATTTGTTGGGTGATAGGTTGCTGGTTGGTTCGTCACCAGCCAGAGTTCCTTGTTGTTTGTTTTTTCTCGCCATCTGAGCGAGCGTAAGCGGCAGCTGTTGACGAATGTGTCTCAACCATATAGAAGCACTGACTTGACACTGGTGTTGAGAATCCGGATCTTGTTCAAGCTTTATGATGAGTGAAGTAGATCTCCATAGTAATTTCAAATTAATGATAACCTGTCTTGCTTTTCCGATCCTGGCTGCTTTGACGTGCTTGTCTATGCCGCCGCCTGTAGTTGAAAAAATGCTTCCTAGGTGGGTGACACAGGCTACTTCCTTTATGTTTCTCCTGGTAATGAGTGATTGGTGCTTGGTGTTTGTTGTTGATGCAGTTGTTGGTTGGGTATCTTCATCACCTCTGTCTTCTCTACATTTACTTGAAGTCCTGTTTTTGCTGCCTCTTCTGTGAACTTGTTAGTTTTCGCCTGTAGATCTTCGAGTTTGTGCACTATTAAACGTAAATCATCGTTGGTGAAATCCAAATCTTCTAGCGTCTTGAGAATAGATTGTAGAGTATCCTAAAAGATGCTTACCTCTATTAGGAAATCGAATACTATCCGAAAAGAGTTCAACCAAGAAAAAAAGGTTACAAGGATGACTATATATTCAACCATGTCAGCTGATTGAAAACAATCGATAGGAAGCCATGCTCTCGCAGGTTTTGTGTTTATTGGCCCTCATCAGCAGATTTGAGGAAACCCAAGTCCTCTCTGAGATTCTAACCCATATCACATAGTCTCCTAATCAGTGACGTTACCAATGAAGTATTCCAGCTGCGTTATATATATATGGTATTTTATGTCACATATCATCAGCCATTCTAGTACAACATCGACTGTTTTCCTTCAAAATTAATCTTTCCATCTGTTCATAACTGTATTGTCGTATTTCTGTAGATTTTCTCTTCTTATGCTGCTGTAAAGTGTGGCAACCTGGGAATATAAAAGTATTTACACGACACCTTTCAGGGACATTTCTGTTACAGATGTGGAATGCACACATGAATCTCTTTTTTTCTCAAAAATAGAATTTGAGCAAACTGTTACGAATTGCTGATAGTCATTTGTACACCTGTATGCCGAATTGATCACCGTTGAGTAAGCGATGTATTGCTCAACACTTGTTGAAGTTTTTGATTAAGGTTTACGATGTTAAGATATATCTAAGCAACATGACATTGAGGTATACTGTTTTTGAATGCTGGTTATTCAGAGATGGTCGACAGGAAGCTATTCTGGAACAGGATTTCCAGCTATTTAACATTCATGAGGCAACAGGGTGCATTAACTAACTCGGAAGCGAAGGTAGAGATTACTAATCGGTTATTCAAGCTAAGATTGACTCTCTGTAGAGTTGCATTATGTACATGAGGTGTTCATCATCATATAACGAATGTAGCTGTCTAGTTACTGGCTGAATATCCACCATGTAAACTAGTAAAGTTCAAATCTGTAAAATCTGATGGAATCTAAAATCCGATTGCATAATTTAAAGTCATATGTTTAGAATTGATGATTGATATAACTGATCATTATTTTAGGAAACGAGAGTATAGTTTAGAAAACGTACCAACAATAGCCAAAGAGAATGAACTCCAAAAGTTCCACACATAACGACCAATCCTACAATGAAGAAAGTATCCAAAAATGTAAATTAGTCTAGAATTATTAGCTCGAATCCTTATTGCTTCTTATCTGCGGAGATGATGAGTTCGAATACCTTTTGAAAGATAAGGTGGTATCTGGTGAATGATCTTGATCCACCAGATAACGTAAAGCTGAGCTTCTGATGGATTATGTCTATCCCTTCCCCACCTCTGAAGGTAGATGTTGAGCATCACATCTATTGTCAAGTAGTACGTTCTATATAGCTTTATCTACAGGAGTGATTGAACTTGTCAATATATATATATATATATATATATATATATATATATATATATGTATAGAAATAGTGAGAATAGATAACTTCTTTTTACGGTTAGTAATAACAGTTAGTCAGCTGGAAGAGTTTCTCGGCGTAGAAAATACTCATAATGGCTTTAAAGAGTCTCTGATATAAAACTGTATTGAGCATGCTTGCATTGAAGATCAGTTTGATAAATTCAGATTTACTTCTCGTTACTTTATTTTGCTGAATCTTTATGAAGTTGTTAGGACAAACAATAAGTTTCGAATATATATCATAACCCAGACATACAGAAAACGAAGAAAAACAGTCACACAAGTGTGACTAATAACGACAATACAAGAAAAGAGGAGTTCACAGCCTCCACTATATTACCCTATAAGGAGGGTACCTCAGGAACTTTACGTAAAATCCTCAACAGAGCTGGAATCAAGGTGACATTTAAACCTACAAACTCACTCAGAGATAAAATTTGTCGGTTGGCTTAAGGATCCGACAGAACCAATTAAGCAAAATAATCTAATCTATCAAATACCATATAATGACTGTGAGGTCAAGCATACAGGTCAAACTAGTCGGTCGGGGTCAGTTCGAATAGCCAAACATAGGAATTTAGCTAAATACAGAATTATTATTATTTGTCACTTGAGTTCCTAATGGAAGATAGGGCTTAAGTAGCACGTCTCCAATGCGCTCTGTTCTCTGAAAACTTTTGAACCTGGCTCCACGACTGCCCACAAGCTCTCATTTCCTCCTCGGACGGCCAACCCGTCGCTTCCCATCTGGGTTCCACTCGAGGGCTTGACGCGTGATGTCCCCAGTCGGACTTCTCAGTGTATGCTCAATCCATCTCCACTCTCTTCTACTGCATATTTGTTGGGTGATAGGTTCTTGGTTGGTTCGTCACCAGCCAGAGTTCCTTTTTGTTTATTCTTTCTCGCCATCTAATTTTCAATACCAAGCGTAGGTGTCAGCTGATGATGAATGTCTGTAGTTTGTTGGAAATGCTATTCATCTAAACCGACTCATAAATTACTAAACTGTCTAAATTGGTGCTTGTTAACTGACTCAGGAATGCCTATTGAGTGTCTCAACGTTAAACCGATTCAATGAATAATTCTGGTTTATAGCCAGCTGAGACCGATACCTTTATCAACTTTTTACTAGTCTTGATCTTCCCTGTTTTCAGACTGTGAACACTACTCGTGGTTGTTTAGATGTGAACTGTCGTTCAACAAAAATTCTCTTCAGTGGAGAGTAAGTTGTCTTTGTTAATAAATTTTACTTCATATCCACTGTGTTATAATTAATTGCTTGTGTATTTTAGAGATGAATGGGGATTTGTAATTTTGAGGTGGTATTCATCATCATCATCATCATCACAGACTGACATGATTATTTGGGGAACTATTGAGAACTTGAAAGTCGTGGGTTCGATGCCTGGTTGTATTGTGGATGTATACTGCTGAGGAGTCCCATACTAGGAGGAAATAGCTGTGTAATCCAGTGCTCCAAGGTTGTTTTTTCAATGGTTCTCCAACTGATGTCAGTCTGTGATGGGTTCGAACCTGAACACATCCAACTCACAGAGGTCTATGTAGCCAAGCAGTATCTTCAATGTTTAGACAGTAACTGTGATTGATTGCCTTTTTCATGAATGTCCATATGCTTGATGAATGGATTTCAATACTCCATTGGGAAGACTGCACAATTACTGTTGTTGTGTATAAAATAAGCTTGGAGCTTTGATAGATTCTGACACCCAGATGCCTCTAGTTTCAAATGTTTCTCTGTTCACATTGTCACAACATTCTCTCCTTAGATATTATTGTAGAATATTGATGCAAACGGAACTGAACTATATATAATATTGTAAATGAGAAAAAAGAACTTGATTTGTGTACTTCTTTGAAGTCGACGTTGAAAATCTCAGGATTAAATGTTGAACAGCAACAGTGTATGACATGGTACCATGGGATGAAGGATATTTGTGTCGATTTAGAATCTCTCAATGCTTTATGACAGCAGAGAGATGATACAAGTCTACAGCTTGAGACGATAGCAAACACTGCCTCAGAATTGACACAAATGACGACCAAGTTTACAGTCAACTTATTTCTTCAACTTTACAGAAAGGTGAAACAAAAGTAGTTAGTGCCTCTTTGAATACATTTTCAAGATTACTTTTCAATAACTTAATTCGACATTTACTTTTCCTATTTTCTCGTTTCCTTAACCCTGTATCATATTTCTGTCTTGTAAATATTGTTATATCAAGGTAGTATTCATCATAGATTGATATCAGTTACAGAATCATTGAGGATCTGGGAGCATGGAACTCCCCGTAGTGTACACACAAAAGCCCACCTAAGATCGAACCCTCAACGTTCACGTTTCGTGGAGAGGGCATTACCAATGAGCCACAAGATTTGAGTCGAATGGTTTATATTTTTACTACTTTTGCCTAGATTACTGAGCCACTGTTTCAAACAAGTCACTAATGAGACCTAGCATGGTTATGGGTGCGTATTACTGAAGAGTTCCATACTAGGAGGAAAACACTGCTGTTCAATACTCCCAGATTCTCAATAGGATGTCAGACCATGGTGAATACTCATCATCATCATTATCAACATAGGACCAGGCATTACTGCGTAACGGTCGGAGCTGCCACACCTCATATCAGCACGTCAAGTAAAAAGGTAGTGAGGTGAAGGATGAAGAGGAATGACAAAATGGTGAGATTCGGTATAGCGTTGTTAAGATGAGGATAATGTGTGTATACATCTGCGCCACTGACATCGGTTCTCAGCCATATCACCTAGGGTCTCCAACCACTGGTTCCTCTTGTCCTGCCAACCCCAACCACCTAGTCTGCATCGTCCGACATGGCTTAAACCAACAGTGAGAGACTTCATACACTGGTGCCATGTTTTAGTGCGGCCACCTCGGGCCTTTATCCAGCCTGGACCTACTTTAGCCAACATTGTGTGACGAGACAATGGTGAATACTATCATTATTATTAGGTCACTTAGGTTCCTAGTGGAACATAGGACGTCGGTAGCATGTCTCCATTCCACTATGTTCTCTGTAATCTTCTGAACGTGATACCAGGACTGGCAGGAAGCTCTCATTTCTTCCTCACACGATCTCCTTCATGTCACCCTCACCTCGGACGGCCATCTCGCCGTTTTCCACTCGAGTGCCTGGAGCGTGATGTCCTCGAATGGTCTTCTCAGTGCATGCACAATCCATCTCCACTTCCATTGTACGATTGTGACTTTCCTTCTTTTTGAGTTGAACCTTGGTGTCATGATCCTCCTGGAGGAGATTCGTTCCCACTGTATGAGAGCCTTCAATACTCTCGGGGACATCATGATAGCCTCTCGAAAACTGAGTGTGCTCATGGTTGTCGTCTGCGTGACAATATCGGAGTAGATTATTGACCCTCCAGTTGACAGTTTGAAGAGTCCACTTCCATTCCACCTGATTTCACAGATTCCTAGCAGTTCAATGTTATACCTTCTCATCTCTTTTGCAATCTGGGCAGCCTTGCAAGGTTGAAACATGGTGCAGACATTCCATGTCTCCATTCCTATTATCGAGAGAAGGCATATCGGCCGATTGGCTTTCCGAAGGCTTTCATCAACCAGCGAGGTTATGGTGAATACTACCTCCAACAAATTGTATGGCACATCTCTTGTTACTAATAATGCTGTAACAAGTGAGTATTATAAGGTAAATAAATAACTACTACTTTGAATTCACTTACTTTATCATGCTTTAATCGTTCACGAGCGTATTTAGTGAATTTAGCATCCATTTCCAAGATCATATCTTCCCAACAAATGCATACTTGATTAAAACTCCAATCTAATAACTAATCAATGAAGAGAACATTAATTTAACTAGTCAATTTCCACTTGGAACATAGAAGAAAACACACAACTAACACAACGACTTATGATCGACATGATTACTATGGACATGATCTTTATAGAAACAAGAAAAATTTAAAGCAAAATACACTGACCAACAGTGGACAATATTTGTAGTTCAGATGCATAGTTTTCGTTGTACTATGTTCTCTGACATGGGCTGTTCAATCGTACAGCTTTCATCATCTTTCTTCTACACAACATCATCAACACTTACTTCTATGTAAAGTGAGCTATCAATATCTCTCCTTCACTGATTCACTAGTACCTTACCTTACCCAGACCAACTGCTTTATCATTCGTTGTTTACTTCGATTGTCGTGTCATTGACTGACTGTATAGATACTCATGTTAGCTGGCTGTTCCACTCCTTCATCTATCACCTTTCTATTCTTTATCATTTTCATTATTCATTCATACATTCAGTCTATGTCTATACATCTGTTGATATTGCTGACTAATTGACTCACTGACATCAACTACAACCTTCCACAAATTCTCTCATATTCCTTGTGTTTACTCTCTCCGTCCAACATTTCTACATTGTCAAAATTAAACTCATCTCCACAGTTCTTATCCACCTGGATTGAGACCAGTGATCAAATGTCATGGCTGACGTTTAATAACCAGTTGGTGTTCATGTAGACGAAGGCGAAGAGGGTGACCATTTTGTACAATGTAGTCTTGACTACAGTTATTCCAGTTGATTTTGCTACTATAGTTGATGATTTGATGAGTGTGCTATGACTTCCTTTATACTTGAGCTTCCAATTTTCCGGCATTTGTTCCACTGACTAAAATATCCAGGAATGTCAGTTGGTTGTTCGACTCCTTCTTCATTGTGAATTTGATGTCATTAAAGACACTGATCGAACTGTAAGTGTTTTTTAAATCATCCTTTTTTACTGATAACAGAAGTATCGTCTCCAGACCAAAGGCTGCAACAATCAAAGAAGACAAACCGAACATCCTTTACAAAATCAACTGGAATAACTGTAATCAACACTACATTGGACAAAATGATCACCCTCTTCGCCTTCGTCTACATGAACACCAATTGGCTATTAATCGTCAGCCATGACATTTGATCACTGGTTTCAATCCAGGTGGATAAGAACTGTGGAGATGAGTTTAATTTTGACAATGTAGAAATGTTGGACGGAGAGAGTAAACACAAGGAATATGAGAGGATTTGTGGAAGGTTGTAGTTGATGTCAGTGAGTCAATTAGTCAGCAATATCAACAGATGTATAGACATAGACTGAATGTATGAATGAATAATAAAAATGATAAAGAATAGAAAGGTGATAGATGAAGGAGTGGAACAGCCAGCTAACATGAGTATCTATACAGTCAGTCAATGACACAACAATCGAAGTAAACAACGAATGATGAGGCAGTTGGTCTGGGTAAGGTAAGGTACTAGTGAATCAGTGAAGGAGAGATATTGATAGCTCACTTTACATAGAAGTAAGTGTTGATGATGTTGTGTAGAAGAAAGATGATGACAGTTCAATGATTAAAGAACGCAACTAAGAAAATACACTCAGCAAGCTGGTGCACATATTCATACAGTCGGCTACGACCCACATCTATCTTTTGATGGCAAATGATACTCTCTACCTGTTCACGTCTCGTCGGTATGTGGAGCTGGTTTCGAACCCGCGACACAACCAGATGGAACTCGAATCCCTACACCACTAGGTTGCAATCCCACATAAAGATTTAAGGAAGCTTCCGAAGTACTAATTTTTAGACAGTAATGAACAACTACTACGAGTTATTTATTGTTATCCGTCTTTAAGGTAGAAAAGTGAATACCTTAATTACACAGTAAATAGGTTGATTTAATACACCATACAGTGAAACAGTATGATTCAGTGGATAACCTTACGACAACAAGTTGTTGCTTAGATTCACTTACTTCTTATCACACTATACCTCTTCTACAATGTTGATACTTTAATCATACAAGAATCCTTAAACGTTCATCAAGTCAGTAGACAAAGACGTCATGGCTCTAATCGATACGCCATATAGTACAATTGCTGTCCAAAATCTTTGGTGAGCATTTGACGGGGATCACTCAATCTGGTGTGCATCTATACTCACTTTGAGTCGAACTTATTGTGTAAATCGATTTAGTATATTATCTAGTTATCCAGGTCGAAGTAAATAGAGTGGGAATCGAACCAACAGCCAATGTAATATAATCTCTACTGATTATTTTTCTTCGTAATATGTTATATACTACTGAAATGAAAAAATTTAGCATATGAACATTAACTAAAACAAGAAATCATATGATATATTTGCTGACTTCTCAAAGCACTGATCATCTGAGTTATTAGAATTAAATAGTCATTAGTAAAACTAAAATCTCATGAAACTAACCACAAGAACTGCATAGTAGGACTGCCAACTATGAGTAATCTTTATAAATGGGCGAGTTTTCTAGCGCGAAATTATGATTTCTAGGTAATGCTTCATCATCATCATCATCAATATCAAAATAGGATTAGGCATTACTTCATAATGGTTCAAGTTGCCACACTATTTATCGGGACATCAAGCAAGAAAGCATCAAGATGAATTAATGGAGAAGAAAGTAGTCAAAGTGATTGAAATTCGGTGTGAGATAATAAAAAAAAGAGGAGGGGGATAAACACAAGGTCAAGATGTGGATACATCTTCGTCAATAACATCCATTCACAGTCATGTCACCTTGACTCTCCAACGACAGGTTTCTATTGTCACCAGGATTCCAACTATGAAGTCTGCATTCTCCTATACAACTCATACCGTCAGTCAAAGACTTCATGCATTGATATCATATTTTAGTCTAGTTGTTTCTAACCTTTTTCCAGCCTTAACTTACTTCAGCTAACACTGAAGGATGGTGATTAGGCGTGCATAATAACACATATTACAGCTGCCTCAGTCGACTGACATTCACAACCTCGTCAACTGACTTTTCCCTGCTGATGTGCTGACACTACAACACACCAACTATGCTATGAAGGCAACGGTGATCAAATATCTGAAGTCTTCAAGAAATATTCATCACCAACTGACATTAGTTAACGCATTTGCTGCGACCGAGTTTGATCCCTGGCAGGACTATGGGTGTGTACTGCTGAGGAGTCCCACACTAAGACGAAATAGCTGCAATCCAGTGCTCCAATATTGTGTACACTTCTCCAAATGATGTCACTCCGTGATGAATACTAACTGAAAATAACCAATCATATTCATCCATGTTTTTTCTGATAACATAATTTTGGATGCATGCGATTAATGTAAACTGCTTATCAGAAATACATTTCTATCTTTAAAATTCATAGCATGAAAGAAGAATGATTGATCAGTTGTCACTTGAATAGTTCCAGGGTGACGACTTTGACTGCAGCAGAGATTGACGCAAGATTAAGTCTCTAGAGGATGTCAGTTCCCTTGAGGTTGTAGACGTATCTGGCTGTCGATTACCAACGATCAAGCAACTTATGTCCACGATTTCTTGCAGATTACCTTCAATCACCTAACATCAAACAAAGTGCATCACAATAGTGAGTCACTCAAGCTTAGTGGCTAGTTTACAAAATGATCAATTCAATTCGAATTGGTTATTCTACAATGTTCAATCAATGAATAAAAACACGAATAAAACATGAAAAACTTACCGATTTTGTGATTTTAATTGAATATGCTTGTGATGATAACTTCATTAATTGATGACCAAATTTCTGAAATCCATCACATGGAATCTAAAACATTGAAGATACTAAGACGACAGAGAGATACACACAACAAAACATATGGTAGTAAAAGTATTAGGTTTAAGGAGTAAATATTTTTCAGATGAAAGGGGATCTTTAATTTAAAAGTAGTACTCACCATGGACTGATATCAGTTGAGGCAACCACTGGAGATCTGGGAGCACTGGATAGGCCTTTCGTCCTATTATGGGACTCCTCAGCAGTACGCACCCACAACCCGGCTACAGATCGAACTCAGGACCTTCACGGCGAACGCGTTGACCATTCGGCCACTGGGTCGGTTTTCAGTGGTTCACAATTTCCAAACTCTTTCAATTCAAGATCAAGCAAGGTCTTCAGTTAGCATCCAGTGCTGTCCAGGGCTCTCAGATTTTCAATGTTTCCCCAACTGATGTCACTCCATGATGAATACTACCTCTAAATTAAAAATCCCCATTCATCTCAAAAATAAACTACTCTAAAGTACTCACTAGTGACCTGCTTCCAGATGGATATCAGGAAGCTCTAATCAGAAGCCATGACCTGTGAGGTCTCCTGGTCGGAAGTGAAGCGGATGCTAACTGAAGAGCTTGAGTGATAGTTGAGCTACATCGTGAATTGACAGAGGTTGGAAATTGTGAACCACTGAAAACCGACACAGTGGCTGAATGGTTAACGCTTTCGCCATAAAACCTGGAGGTCTTGAGTTCGATCCGTAACTGGGTCGTGGGAGCGTACTGCTGAGCAGTCCCACACTAGGACGAAACAGATGTCCAGTGCTTCCAGATTTTTAATGGTTCCCCAACTGATGAATATTACCTCAAATTCAGTTATTATTCATCTTAGAAAATCATTACTTATGAGTAGTATAATCTATCCACTGTCATTTTCAACTTACTTTATGACAAACTACATGAAATTGACCATTTACATCCAATAATGATTCAGTAAGCAACAGTACATTTTGTTCAGCTGATAAATGACAATTAATATGCTGAAAGAGACTAAATATTGAGCATAAAATCATTGAATACCTTTAAAGAGTTATCAGTATGATTCGGTGCATCGTCATTATCCGCAGAATTTAAATTGTAAGCAGCAATTTCGAATATCCCAAAGCCATAAAAATAAACTACACGTTTTGAATAGACTGTGAGTATAGGAAAACTGATTATACAAAGGAGGATAAATAGAAATGAATAATAAACTACTTTTTATCATTATTGTCTGTATCTCCAAGCAGCTGTACATATTTACAGACATCTGATGATGAGAAATTCACATCTCTAAATAAATATGCAGTAGGGAGAGGGAAAGAATTCAATTATGCGTCACATTAAACAATAACAAACTCACACGATTTAAACATGGTTAAATGTTTCACATCAGGAAAATAAATGGCCACATTATTTTTGAAATAGCCACCATCTCCATTATTATTATTATTAGTATTAGTATTAATTGAACATTGATAATTTGTCCATAGTAGATAATCAATTGAATTAGAGAATTGTAATTCATGAAAAGGAATCCATCACCAACAACAAAAAAACAAAGACAACCAGATGAAAATGCAGCTGTCAATATTTTACCATCTGGTCTCCAGGCTAAATGGGTAACACAGCCTAATTCTGATTTATCACACTCCCAAATACACGTCATTTTATACCTTAATAACACAAAATGAAAAAAAAACAATGTCAGGAAACATTGTTTACATAATAAACAATTTTTATGTGGGAAATATACACAAATGGTATTTTTATCATACAATAGACAATAGAAAGGAATTCATATAAGGTGACGGATTAAACCGATAGTATAATTATGCAATTATATCATATTTTAGTTTAGCCGCCTTTAGCCTGGGAATATATGGCTTTACGAACATATAATCCGACACCTAAGATATGGTGGCGATATGTAGATGACACATTTACAGTGTTGAAATCGGAACATATCGACAGTTTCTTGACACACATAAACTCAGTAGTTAACGCAATCCAATTCACTTACGAAGTAGAAAATGAACAAGGAGAATTACCTATGTTGGATTGCAGAATAAAACGAAGGATAGATGGTGGTTTAGATACTACCGTCTACAGAAAACCAACACATTCTAACAGGTATCTAGACTTCAAGTCATCTCATCCAGTGTCAGTTAAAGCGGGTTTAGTCAAATGTCTAAATAACAGAGCTGAGAAACTCACTAGTCATTGTAAGGACTTAAAAAAGGAATTGAAACACATAAAAGAAGCGTTAATAATTAATAATTATCCCCATCATTTTATTAAGAAATTCACACGGACTCATAAGAAGCAAAATAATAACACTAATACAAATACAAATAATAGTGACAACATAAGTAGAAAGGAAATCAACACCTCTATTGTGATACCATACAAGGAAGGAACATCAGAAACCATACGTAGGATTCTCAACAAGGTTGGAATTAGGGTGGCATTTAAACCAACAAACTGACTTAGAGGTAAGCTTTGTCGGCTGGCTTAAGGATCCGATAGAACCAATTAAGCAAAATAATATGATCTACCAAATTCCATGTAATGACTGTGAGGTCAAATACATAGGTCAAACTAGCCGGTCGGGGTCAGTTAGATTAACAGAACATAGGAATTTAGCTAAACATAGAACGGCAGACCCCAATAAGATCAATAACCTAGAAAAACCCTTGGCCATTGCATTACATTCGTTAACACACAACCACACAATAGGATGGGACAAAACCACTGTACTTAAGTCTAATGTAGCTAGCTGGAGAGAGAGATTAATTACTGAATCTTTGTTCATCGAATCCACACCCAACACATGTAATAGGAATGACGCAACACCTATACGAGAGATATGGAAAACTTTACTACCAATCAAAAAACAAAAAAACAAAGAGAGATCAGGTGACAGGACTATAAAATCAGATGTCGAAAGAAGTGTGATTACATTGATATGATTATGAGCAATAATTTATGCTCGAAACGTAATCAAGTAAATAATACTGTATCACTGTGCGCTTTATATCAAATAAACAAATCTAATATGGAACTACATTCTACCACAGTGCCCAAGTTTTTCACTTATAGCCTGAACCTACTTCGATCAACATTGTGTACTGAGGCAGATGGTAGCTAGGCATAGGTAATATATGTCGCAACCAGCCATCTCAGTCAATGAATGTCCACAGCTGTGTCAACTAACCTACCTCTCCTGCGTTACTCACGGTCTATATAACGAAGGCAATGATGGTCAAACACCTTAAGCCTTCTCATGTTTTTAATGGCCAATTTTCACAGCGAAACAGTAGAACAAAGTGAACTACGCAACAATATACTCAACACTTATAGGCAACCGGATATCACGGTAGCGTCACAGATGGCGTAGCTTGGCGAAAAGCAACCGAGCCTTTAGTATACGTGCAGAAATTTCACCGGCCGACAAAAGCTAGACCGACTTCCAAGGTAAAAGAAGTGTGTTCAGTACAATCAGCCAGTTCTGAAGCAACAATTTGCATTCCAGTAGCGAGAAATGCATCCCAAATATTCCAGAAGACTCTTCATCTTGTCAGTGTCTTCACCTAACACAACTAAGTGATTTATAAGAAAACAATGAAAAATAGCCGATGCCTAAAAATTTATCCTTACAGTTGAAATCTTTGTGAATGTCATCTTGTCAATTTGAACATTCGTTTTAGCACTCTTTCCCTAATTTATCTGTTTTTACGATATGGTTGTTGTGCAGACTCGAATGAGTAGATATATAATTCTTATTCTTTCGTTGACGTAAGTTTCAACAGTCGAAATACTGCCTTCTTATTTAGGTTCTCAACAGAATAGAGTTGTAAAGGAAGTAATTATTTGTTTATTAGTACAACAATAATCAAAAGTAAGTTATCGATGTAAGTTTCATACTTGAATGGAAATCATTCCCAGTTTAGTAATCGATTCTTTTATTTAACCCTACTGTACAGAGGAACATTATCGATTTCCTTAAACTATGAAAATTTTAGCGTATGGATGAATTATGCTGGTAACTATTATATAAAAACCAATCTCATAGCTAGACTTACCTATGCACAGAAATACATCCACTAGCAGAACCCAAGGCAATCAAATCACTTTTTGGTGACCATACGCATGTAACAAGTTTCATTTTGACCAACTGTCGAGTTTCAACAAGAGAGTATGTGAAATCGACCACCATATTGCTGAAACAGGATAAATAAACATCATTACGTCATCATATATATATATATATATATATATATATATATATGATAGCCCCATCAGAAAACACCTTCCGAACAGATAAATACAACAACAAGAGGTAGAAGTAAGCAAACTATAAGCATCTATTGCCTTGCTAAACAGACAACTCAGATTTGCAACTAATTACCCACGAACGTGGTCTCAATTTGCGTCTGGCTATCGCTTCCACAAATCTTAATATGCATCGCTGACTGTTTCAGTATAAAACTATGAAAGCTGTTTAAAAGTAATTTTATGACCCGTTTCCTTTGATATGAATTCGGTATTCACCGACGAGCCATTGTTCAAGACTATTAACATTATTCTTTGTGACTACATATCCTATGGAAACTTTCCATACCCGATTACTCCAAGTTTTCTGAAGGAGGAATGATTGCTGTGTACCGTTAGAGTTTATTTCACATTTGACGGTGAAAACTTTCGATAAATTGATGATGTAGCGATTGGAAGTCGCTTAAGAACATTCCTAGTTGACGTTTATATGACATATATCAAAAATCTGACTGATCTCACCGCTAGTTTCTCTTTACAATAGATAAGTCAACAACATCATAGTGATCTGTGAGGTGTATAAGGAAAAGGCTTGTCTACTAAAAAGGTTTAACACTGTACAAAATCATATTAGCCTGACTTGTGAGAAGGAGAATAACAATCATCTGTCATTCTTAGACACACTCCTAACTCAACGTAATGGTTCAATAAGACGGTCAGTCTACAGAAATCCTACATGGACAGGAAAATATGTGAATTTTCACAGTTTTTATCCGGTCTAATGAAATCCTTGTTTAATAGGATCTATCGTATCTGTACATCAGATACAATGGGTGAAGATATCAAAATACGGAAAACAGATAACCGTTGAAGTTTATAAACTGTTGTACAAGTCAGGTAATACCGAATCTAACTCCATACATGGTTCTTAAGAAAAGTATCCATATCACTCTACCATAGAGAAGGGAGTTGAATAGTACAATATTTTAGAGATAGGCTAACATCAGCCATTAAGAAAACAAATTATGCAGCTAAGTTTATGATTGTAGAAAAGACAAAACATATGCTTCACCACAAACCTAAGCACTGCATCAATGTTTACGTCATATCCGACTTTGTTTACCAGTTGATATATATATATATATATATATATATATATATATATATATATATATATATATATGACGAGAGAGGGGGGAATCAAGCCATGCAGTTGAGAGCGGCTTCAAAAACAAATGGAGTGTGAAACTTTGATAAGTGCAAATGGGAGACAACCCTTTTCATCTATAGGTAAGCATATTAGAGAAACAGGTGACAAAACAGCGTTTAACAACTAACTACTCATTGGATTGAAGTAGGTCAAGGTAGGAAGCATGCAAAAATTAAAAAAAACACTACGTTCATTATTGGATGAAGCGTGCATACATATGAAACGATATGAAAGAACGATGAACAGATAACTCATGTGAAATATATGAACTTTCTGTGAACTAAAGCCAATCTCAACTTAGTTGGACAGTTGAGGAGGATAGGTTATATTTGATTAGGTTTTGTGTACTACTGGAAGCGTGTGGGTGGTTCACACATTTCGGTAGCCCACACCGTGGAAGGCTATTTGCTTTTAAAGTAGGTGAAAGATTTATGACCGTAGAGCCCATGGGATATCTGCTTGAGGCTTATCACATACACAGCCTTTCACGAGTTGCTGCTTTGAGGTTTGGTTGGGCTAACGCTGGACAGAGAAAATGCGTACCACCAGCACCGGAAGATCATGGAGCAGGGGTCGACCTTTTTTAACCCTCACCTCCCCTATTGGGAATAAGTTATTGCTGTAACACCCCATCCAGTTAGTAGCGGTACGACTTCGCCCTCAGATATCTCCATCATAGTGTAGTAATTTATACAACGGTAACTGCTTTTCATCTTACTGTTATCAAACAGACCTTTCTGGCATGGTAGGACCTCGATGGGACAAGGGTAACACCAGCATAGCTCTTTGGTTTATTGTGATATACAAGCCCGACCACAGCGTCAAGGTAGCAGGTATCGGTCAGGTTAACTTAGTTAAGTGAAGTTTCAGATGATAAATCTTTCTGTGAATCAAATTACAAGTGATTAGGTTGTATCGCAATCCATGGTTGCTCCTCAAGTCCTAGAACCAACTAGAATAAAGATATGGTAAAGTGAAACGACCTACTCATCTACGAATTTTGCGTTGAAAATGTTCACTAAGGTAAACAGAGTCAAGTGAGACTAGAGATAACTTATGAGACAAGTAGGAAAGCCTTGCTAAATAAGGTACATATCACTGGATGAATCTATCAACACTGAACTAATCATCATCCTGAAGAACACATTAATCTCTTTAAATAATGCTGAGGACAACGACTGGTAGTTTATAAAATATGATTATTTTACTACACAAAGAAATCAAGTGGATTTCACGAATGGAACCTTTTAGAGAAGACATTTGTAGTCCGTATTTTACAGCTGTAGAAACCACAATTGAGAAAAAAGTTAAATTTGTTTAAAGACTAGAAAACACTTACTTATTTTACTTGCACTTAACTCAGAAATAATAAAACTATTCGATGCTCTATAGCAGATATAAAACAAAGAAGAGAGTTTGGATACATAATGATAAAATAGTCTAGAATACCATGAGATCATTTAGCATGCGTACCTTATTCATCACACTGACCACTTCACTAAGAAATAGCATTCGTAAATTATTTGAATTGTAAAATACTTAAACAATAGATTTAGAAATGAACATTACATAAACAGAATGATTAGTGGATGATAGCTTAACCCACTACACAGCTTTAGTAATACACGAAGCATATGTATGAGGCATGCAGTATGACTGATAGCTGCTACCTTGACGCGGTGATCGGGATTGTATATCACTGGTTGGGATGTATGTTCCCTTGAGGACCTACCATGTAGTGTAAGTTACTACACCATGATGGGGGTGTGAGGGCGAAATCTTATTGCTACTACCTGGATGGGATGTGACAGTAGTAAGGTGTTTCTCTTGGATTACTAGAAGTGCCATGTTTATGCTGCCTTCACAATGGAAGAGGGGGTTAGAAAAGCTCACTCCTCCCTGTACCAAGGTCTTTCGGTGCTGGTAGTATGAATTTTCTCTGTCCAGCGTTAGTACAGTCAAACCTTAAAGCAGCAACTCCTGAAAGACTGTATGTGATAGGCCTCAAGCAGATATCTCATGGGCTTTACGGTCACAAATCTTTTTCTCTCTCCAGTACCTTATGAAGAAATAAGTTTCCATAGTGTAGGCAGCCGCGAAGTATCAACCACTCTCACAACTCTGTCAGCATTCAAGCTGCCTCAGAATAGTGATAATCTTAGTGACCAAATCCAATCACCTAATCCACAGATTTCAGTGAAAAGCAAAAGACGAACAATGAGACTGTTTTCCTCACAAAAAAGTATTTGAACTCGCATAAATGCTGAATAAGCTAGTTACATGGAAGGTATATAACTAAAAAACACAAGCCCTATAAGATAAAAACCACTGCAAGGATTGAAATTCATACTTTGTCAAAAGTAAATACTGACGCCAACGTGTGCAAATCAATAAAGCTACTGAAATATCCTCGTATTCAAGTAGACAAATGTACCTAGTATTGGTATGTGTGTGTCATAATATGCCACATGCCTCATATAGTTTCTAAATAACCATCAACAAAACGGTTACGATAACGGATCATACTGTCTCTTTACTTATATGTTCAAAGATCGAGTTCTCAGATCATTCTAACACTTTATAATTTAGAGGTCTGTATGTATTTATTTATTAATTTCAAGTTGGTATTCATGACACTGAAAGCTTGAGAGCACTGAACAGCATCTCTTTGGTTCTAGTATAGGACTTATTTAGCGATATAAACAGCGATGAACTGCAGGTTCTGAGGCCATACTTAGATGAAACAGCTGTCCATTGATCCCAAGTTTTCAATGGTCCTCCAACTTATCATCCTAGTCGTAAATTTACTGAATTCAAGCTTACTACAAATCGAATAAACAAAGATAGGAAGGTTTTGTAAGTGTGAAATAAACTTTTTTTAAAAAAAACCGGACAGTGATAGATCCGTTAACCACTAAATGAAGTAACGTAAAGACCTAGACACGTACGTTTATTCAAACAAAAAGTTGACTAAATGTAACAGTAAGAATGAAATACTTGGAATGTGAAATATATTCATATAACTTTATGTACAAACGTCTCTATGTGTTCACTGAAGTAATATGAAGTAAGACAATTACCTAATTTATCTAAAAATAAGCTTTTAACATTATTAACAATTACTAAATGGTAGATTGCATGTTTCAGCAATACGTTTAACAAGACTATTGATAGACGGATATTTATCCAATATAGGCTTCAATACATTGAAATATTCTGAAAACTCATATAGAACAGTCCAATGACCATAGAGAAGAGCATCAACTTTTCCCGGTGAACTATGTTCAAACAAGAATGGGCCATTGCCAAGCAATTCAATAATGCTAACACAAAGCGCTTCCATATCTTTCAGGATATCATTAATACTTTTTTTATTCCAGCCAATTGATGTTAGAAAATGAGTATATTGTTTTCGTTTACGTTTAGCAATGAATCTAGTTATTAAATATGGTGTAACAGATTGAAGACGTTTATAAGTGAAACTATTATAGGTGGATTCATGCAACCATGTGAAATAAAGCATCACATTTCGTAATATATCAGATATCCAAAATAGATAAGTATGTCGTAAATTCTTCAATGAAAGTTTATTAATATCGAAATCAATATCTTTATTGCTTTTCAAAGTATTCAATCGTAAACACAAAGAAGTATAACCAGTTACAATCGATCCATTGAGTATAGTTATAGGAAGTAAGTGATCAGGTGAACATGAATCAGCATTCATAATACGATCAATATGATAAGATAATCCACATCGAGTTAAATAACAAATTACTGATCGAGTTGCTGCTTCATCACATGGAAGTATGACTTGGCATGGATGTGTCATTAAAAGAAGCTGTGACATTTCAGTTAGATTTTACTCTCTAAATTCAAAGAGAGATTTTAGTCTACAATGAGAAAGGAATAAAAAATATATATATATAGTTTGTATGGATCATCAATGATTGTGGAAGACAAAACAGATATGAACACTAACTCAATTATTTTGTGGAGTTGATACGTATTGGTTTTCGTGTTCTACTTGTAGGTCACAGGTCTAAAACAGGTTCTACTTACAAATGTTTAACCAGTCGTATATGTGACTTATAGGTTAGTCTACACAGTTTTAGGTGGTTGCTAAATTGAGTTGCGTTTCAATACTATTCTTAAGATGAATCAATCGATAAACATTTTCGTATCCAGGGTAGAGGTTAGGGAAATACTCTGATTAAAACAGTTTTCATTAATTAGTACAACAGGTGGTAAACGAAGCCTCATTGATGCACCTCTTATAAAGCCCTCAAAAATATTGAGGAACAGTGTACAAGTAACTTAGGTATTTTTAGCCTAAAAGTAACTAAAATGAGAATTGAACAACTTAGTCTTAAACTAAATCTCAAGTCCCTACTTTTTTGTTTATTTTCATTAAGTTTCTGCTCACTTTTTGATTTTTTCTCCATGGAAATGAGCAGCATAGAAACTTATAAAGGACTTATTAATTATGTATCTCTCTACGCACTCTCACTCAATTAGTCATATCCACTACACTATGAAAGCATTACAATAAGTCAGTGACACAATATAAGCAAATCGACCCATCAAATAAAGGAATGAGAATTATAATAGGGTTGAATTTTATTTTCTTACTAGCAATTTACTTCATTGACAATTAATGGAACAGAATGAGGTGAAAGCCTATTGTCTGGAGGAGTCAGCATCGCATCAGAACATACTGTGAAATAAAATATCCAAATGTTCGCGAAATGTCCTGGATGGATATTAAAGGGAATTACTAGCAAATAACCAACCTTTAGTGATTAAATTTTTATAGATACCGATTCATTTCATAAGTTTGTTTACATCATGACCAAGTAAACCTTCTCCCTATCCTACAACAAAGTAGTCAACTCTTGGAGTCATTCGTTGTCAGCTATGTCGGTGATTTCAGGGGTGACATACGTGGTCATCATTTAAACTCTTCCTAAATGGTCTGAGCCACTTTTAACACAGTAATTTATCACATGTACAAGTTCCTATAATCTATATCTAATCGAGGCTGTGTACAAACTAGTAAACATGTCGCTATCGACCTTAACAAGCATTTTCTGCACTGTTTAGTGCCCCAAAACTTCGAGTGATAATCGGCAAAAGAGAGCAGTGATCTTTCAGTTATGATTCACTACCACTTTTGATTATCGTGATCAACCTGGAAGGCGACACTTTGTCAGATACCCTTCTAAATTCTACGAAAGCGATATATATATATATATATATATATATATATATATATATATATATATATATATATATACTGTCAACTATAGACTTAATTTCTATGTCTGTTCGGTTTGACAAGATGGGAAAGCTTCTATAAAAGTCATTCAGAGGTCGGGAGCAGAGCATTGCATTAAACAATCCATGATGGCTTTTTAACTATTCTTCCTAGGATTTTAACTAAAATGGAAGTGTCTCACCAGTAGATCACTGGATAGGTGCTGCTTATGTGTGACTACGTCATCCTCCCAGTTATATGGTAGCATGTCTTGATTTAGAAACAGAGACAAAATGAAAGTAGAACCTTGCATACAAGTGCATCCGTTCAAGTTACCACAGTTCACAATAGTGTACAAAGAACAGGTGGATAGGAAAGACATATCAAGATAGACAAGAACGTATGGCAGAAGAGGAAAATTAAGAATCAAGGTTAGTCAAAACAATCAACGATTCGAAATCACAGCGAATACAACTGCGTCGAAGTGACTGATTTTCAACTATTTCGCTAAGTGTCCTTAATCACTGATTTTTATCGTCTCGGAAACCCCATTCTTCATCTCCCTACAGGGCCCAGATTAACAATCATGGACTACAAACACTGGTACTACGTCTTGGTCCGGCTACCTTGAACCCTCTTCCAACCTAATCCAACTTCCCCGAGCATGGGACGTCGAGGTAGGCGATGGCTCGCCGTGAGCAACACATGTCCAAGCCACCTGACTTTTCTTCTTTGCCTAGTACCCTTCGCCTGACCTCAACATTGCTCACACGATGATTCCACCGTACGCCAGCAATGCTGCGAAGACATCTGGGATCAAAGCCATGTAACCGCTCCTACTTCAATGGCTGTTATATAGCCGTATAACAACAGAGTGCACTGCAGCGCAGTATAATAGTCGTTGAATAGGTAGTCGGATATCTGATTAGTCAGCACCACAAATGAAGCAAGTTGGTATGTGCTAAATGGGCTTTCTGCATCGGAGCTGAGATTCTGTCAGCAACCAGCCCATTCAAGTTGACGCAACTCGCGAAGTAGGTGAAGTGGTCGACGCATTTCACTGCTTCACTCCTTATCCTTATACTAGGAATAGTCGCAAACCAGTTCTATAGAGTTATCTTACATTTGACAGGTGCGAATTGTATGCCAAACATAATCAGATTTCTTGTCAACGCATCCTGCATGTTGTCATCCTCTTCCCTTAGCAGGAAAATATCGTCTGTATACTCCAAATCGACCAGGTGACATTCGAATCGAAATCCACTCGGACATTTCGTTCACATTTACGCAGTAGGCATTGAGCCACACCCAATGTGTGAGGGCCAGTGATACTACCTGTCTGCCCGAACCTCAGTACATGGAGCGGTGTTCGAACCACTGACCCAATGGATGAAAGTCAACTGCCTAACTCAATGAGCCACAATTCGTAGGTGGAAACCGGGAATCAGATCAATCCTTGTGAAGACAAACGTACCTAGCTTTATGTCCATTAGTAAATCAATAATGAAATTAAATGAAGACCGACAAGGGGCATTAATTTAGAAGTAGACTGAATATGGCAGCCAAATGATAGGCTACGCAAGTTACAAGTTTCCTTAGCAACCTACTAGTAGTTTGTATGTATAAACCACAGCGGAGTATTCCTACATGGAATACCCTTTGTTGTGATCATCTCTAGTGGATTGAGAGATGTAACTGTCCCACCAATTAGGGCGCAAAAGCGGTAGTAGTTTACACCGATAGCTCAGACAAAAGCCTTGGGGCGTTCTGCTGTGACCTAAATGAGATGTGGTTTTGAAGGGTATTTAAGACTAGTGGACTGAAGTGAAACACTTACTCTGAGCTGCACTGTGTTGTTTCTTCATCGCAAGAGTACGGAAGTTAATGAAAAGACTCTTGCACATCTTTTCCCGCTGAAGTGAACATAAGATTTACTTAAGGAGGACGGCATTTTCGTCCGTTAGAGATAGATAACGCAATCAACCAGTTTTAGCTCAGTGCTCTCGATGGACTGTAGTCTTTGGAAGAGGCTAATAGGGCTAATAATATCTACCATGTTTGCTTTCTACACAAGGTCAAGCTACAATGATGACCAAGAATATGGCAAGAGTAAATTTAATGATAAGTGTATGAACACTTTCTCCAAAAGATGTGAACAATCAGATGAAGCTGAGATTACTTCCAAAACCGAGGAATAGGTGGCTGACAACTGTATTGAGTGGCTGCCTAAATATACTATATGAAAACCGACGGAATAGTTGTTTCCTTCAGCCTGTGGTCAAACAAGCTAGATGACACTTCTATCTTTAGGCTGTCCCAATCAATTGACGGTGCATCGATCTTCTAGAATTAAGTACCTGACCTTATTTATCGAGATATTTACATTGCTGCACAAAATATCATCTGCCGAACATTCAAGGCTACGATACACTGCGACTAAATCAACATCTTGCTCCCGGCGACGCAGTAGTTCGCACCATTTACCGTTAAGTGCATCACTTTCTGTAGCTATTGAAGTTTTATCGCATGAATGACGACACCAGTGCCGCCTGAGAAGTTATTTATCCGTTCTGTAGAAATAAAAGCTCCAATGATGCATTTTGTCACTAGTTTCAAGTGTGAACCATGTTTGTAAGAAGCGAAAGGACTAGCGACTCAACTTGAAGCTCAGTCCACCCAAATAATAGGCTGTAAGTATCAATGTGGCCGACTTCCAGTTCAGGGTAACATTATTACGCTCTACCAACATTAGACGCCTATATCAAGTATTAAAAACTTGGAGTCTCAATCCAGCTAAAATCCATACCTCTCAGCCAGGTACCAGAAAGCTTCCCAGTCTAAAAATTAATATCTGAACAAAAAGATCAAGTGGCCTTGTACGGAAATATTCTTATTATTTCAACGACATTCGGCATAGGTATACATCTTAAGATATCCATCTTCTGAAATGGTAAAGTGCATTAGTCATTATTAACAAACTATCAACTAAACATGAACGAAAAACGGCAAATATCCATTTTCCAGCAAAATATTCACAGACACAACTGGCTGGTTTGAAAATCCAACGTGGAATTAAAGTCATCGTTAAAATTTTACACAATTTGAAAAAGCACTTCAGGAGATTTGCAAACCCTGAGAATGTTTCAGCATCACTGCTGAATTGTCAACTCCTAAACACGCACACGTCAAGTCCCAACTTAGAATTCTCTCGCAAATCTACATATTTCATGCACGTTCATATGACGGAACTCAAAGTGTCTTCGAGTGCTTCAGTTTAAACAGTCCTCAGCCTAATGACTGCAGGAGTGGTGGGAAATGTAAAAAGAACACAATCCTATCCACAACGGCAGATTCCTACTGGAATTAAAGATTATTCACGTGAAGGTCCCCGTGCACAGTGTCATAGTACACTCAGCAGACAAGTCCGATTACCCGGCACCCTCATTCAGGTTAGAGGAGCCCCGCAGTCTTTCATTTAACGTCATTAGGATATGCGACGTTTCACAGTCCCCGTTCTTTTCCAACTTTATCCAAACACTTCAGCGCTCCTAAAGTCATTGCTTTGTGAGCAGCAGACGACTTGTTACAAGCAAAGAACTCAAAGGTCGGTTTACGAAAAGTCCTGAATTTCTGATTAAAAACCATATCACCGATATCATGGGAGGAAGATCAGGTTGAATAAGCTTTTTCAACTGTCTTGTCGTAGGATGAAGAGTCACCTCATACTGGTATGTTGTATCTCATATAATTACTTGTGAGTCAATCTATGTATTTTTCTCCTCTACGACTATTCACCTCAAAGGACATCAAAAAGTCTAGTCCATAAACCACGGTCGGATAGTTTACACCTTGAAACTCGTTTCTCACACCCAGTTGTGAACCAGAGTACATGTCTACTCGAATACACACAGGATCTACACCCTCTTTTGGCGACATCAGACTTCCACAGTATTATCAATCGCAAGGACTACTACAGGTCACTGACCTCCCAAACTAACAAATATAGGTAAATGAAGGGAATGAATAGCAAAGTAATATGGAGATCGATTATAATCAATGTTTCGAACAAAACGTTGAAGAAAGCATCAACTCATTAAATAGGTTTGATATGTCTAATATTTTGGAAGTTTCAATACATATTACAAGCACTTTGAATGAGAAGATATTCACACTAACTTCAGTAATTTTATGTATCTTCCATTTGTGAAAGTACATCGATCTAGTGAAGTTGATGCTTTCTTAATCGTTTTAGTCAAAGGATCCATCATAACAGATTGCCCCCTTATTTGCCCATTTTAGTTAGTGTGGGAGACTCTTCCTATACCTGAAGACTGGTCGATCGCACATAAACCAAAATTCCGTCGCTTCTTTCCAAAACAGATATACAACAAGAACATCGGTTACACTGCGTTTTTTGTTTTTAATGAGATACACTGAGAAAAATGCTGAAGGTATCAACGAAATGAATTTATTATTACAAGCACGCCTAAGAGCCACCCCAGCAACCACTGAGATAATCAATAAGGCTTCTTTATTTCAGTTGAAAAGGTGGTTTTTCATAAAACAAAGAAACCTGGTTGGTTATTTCAGCAGTTGTAACGGCGACCTTAAAAGCAACCAACTATTACACGCACAACTTTCATTTACTGCGCGTCTATACAGCCTTGAGGTGTGTTTCGAAACTTGTAGTCTTCAAACGTCAAAATTTCAGTTATGGGAAGAGCAAACTTATTGTTCCAACCGTTCTGTTTCTTCGTCATTTCATAGCCTTGATAACATTTTCCATGGACGAGATGCATTTGTTGTCCTCTGCCTTGAGGACCAATAGGAGTAACAATATTACTTAATAATACAAACTCTCTCCTGGTAGTGACGGTACTGATGATCTGCACTACAATAGAAGTCTGCGGAGTGCATTTCTTTACTCCCAAAAGACTCCAATAGGGTGTCCAGCTTCTTTTCGAATACTGCAAGTGAAGGAACTGTTGTGCACTAAAATACATTTAAGTTTAGAATAAACAATAGTTGAAATAGCCAAGTATTAGAAAGGTAGTTTCCCCATTGAATAACAAAACCTAGTTATCCATGTTAGTGGTCGTTATGGTAGCCTCTAAAGATTGGGGCAGAGAGCTACTGAATTTGGCTGTCCTTCAACGACCAATGGCCCTGAATTGGCCGAGTAAGTTGAAGGCGTCTGTGAGATTGTTCCACTGGACTGTATACTATTAAAAGGACTTTGATGAGTATAAATAGTCTGATCCGCAGTTTCAGTGGTGATTAATTCGCCTGAATTGAAGGGAATTACTCCCTGAATTGTAATCTGCCACTCTGCTGATTCCAAGGTGTTTCTTCATGGGCCCACACATCCGTTGAAACATCAAATTATTGACTAGAAGCTCACACTATTTTGTACTGCATTGCTCAGTCACGAATTTTAAAATCTAGCCTAAACTTCTACTTTCACTACCTAAACGTAACACTTTAGTTCCGAGCAAGTTCGCCATACATATTAAGTCAAAAATGCGACAGACAGCAGTGAGTGGGTAGTCTCTGAAGCAAGTATGCCCGGAAATGACTTTTTCGCTGTTCGTTAGCCGCTTTATGATTAACATTCCCAAGTTTCGTGTTTGAAATATAAGCGTCATTAGAGATTGTCCTTATGCGACAATGACAAACGCATAGTATCCACGAGTGAGTGATATATTCGATGAACCGTACTGAAATGCCCCTACGCTCGATCAACTTGGCTAGGGAACTGTGCAACAACTCCATAAAGTGACACATCAATGTGGTAATTGGCGTGGTCGACTGACCGAATGATCTCAGTTTAACAAGTCAACTAAACCCATGAAGGCAAACATCAGCGTTGAGTTTTGAAATAGTTGCAATAACATTTTGCTTCTGAAAAAGAGCAAATCCGTTCTTACACGCGGAAGTATGCAAGCGATGCAGTTAACTGATACAAAATGTCTATTCCTGTTCGTAATTACAAATGGCCGAAACATATCTTACATTGACATCACATGTCTTGAAATGTCTTGGAATTATACCGTCGGTGAAACCCTGTAAGAAGGTGACTTACTAGTTGAGACGGAGTTTTTTTTGGTTCAGCGCGCAAAAATCAAAACATTTGTCATAGAGAAGTAAAAGGTGACAATGCACAACTGAGCCCAGGACCACGGAACACTAATGTCTGGTAAAACGAAAAACTCACCATTAGCAATAATGTTGCTGGTTCACTGTATAGGAAGTTTATCCATGGCGTGATCACTGGTACCCGATAAACTTTCTTCTTGGGTACAAAGATGCAGCCGACAACGTGATTAGGTCACCGAACATTGTCAAAAAGCCGTATCTCCTGTTATTTCATTTCACTTCTGTATCGAAAGATAGTAAGAGACAAATACTTCCGCATTGGTGCATTCACGGTTGTATTTACTCGCTATAGGGCGATGAAATTTCGCTGTTCTACCTTGTCCAAGTATTACTTGCACCACTTTTATACACTGTGCACCCATTTATCCTCACCCGTGACACTTCTGGTCCAAATTATGCGTCGGTACCTATGCCTCGTTAGACAACCGCCTTGCTGTTAATGTCCTCGAAAACAGTCCGGTATTTTCACGAGGCATCAGAGTTTCAGAGCATAATTTTGGCTTCATCCCGTATACGATGGCGCCAATCCTGTCAGAATCCCTAACGCCTCAATGTGTTGTCAAGGCAAAAAGTAGAATACACTGCAACCTGCTAAAATCCTAAGGGAGGGTCATTATCTGAGTGAGAAGTGGTTATTAACTAGTTTCATTTACGTGACGCATCGTCGGCAAGGTTGATGAATTAGGAGGTTGAGTCGATTTTGGCTTGTGATATGGTAGTAACCCACAGAATCTCGGAGAAACTGTCAGGAAGTGAAGGGACTTCTGTGCTACTAAGAATCCATTAGGTTGAACGGTGATAAAACCCGTGCCACAAAAGCTTATATTCCATTTCATTCGAAAACCCCGAGTCAATGGAGAAAGTGGATAAAGCAGGAGTTCAGAGTTGTCAACAAAGGAACAAGACTTTCGTCTCTAGAAGACATCAGATAAACATGAAGATTTCCGTCTCAGCACACACCTACCACGGGAGTCTGGGAACGAATGAACTTTCTACCATGAAGAGGTGATAGCTAGATGCAGTGTGAGCCTGAAAAGAAAGTTCATGATGCTCTCAGATTTGTGGATAAAGTTTAAGCCTGTGCTGAGATTCAAACATTCGTGCTCACCATTAAAGAGCATCGTTCACGACTATTTCTACATGGGTGACCACTTAGCACCATCCTATAACCTTGATACCTGGCGAGACCCTGTGTTTGAGACACACCTAACCCTCTCTGGAGCTCAGTTAAGGACGGCAGACAAGACGTCCACTTGTAGGGAAGGCCTCGAGGAAGATCTAGGAACACATTTGTCATTGGTAAGTAACCCGTCTATAAAAGCACTAATCACTGAACGCACTTTAGGATGGAAACAGAATGTTGTAAATGACACCCTTGAACTAAATGTATCAGAATGGAAACAAGCCGGCCTCTCGACGTGGTGCCTCTCGTTTTGTTCTTAACACCTTATTCATTGAGGGCAGTAGCTATGCCCACGTGTTGCTTTTCATAGAAGTTATCTCGGCAGCCATCTCAGAGCTGCTTTTACTGGCTGTGATTCGGAGCTTGTGTCGGAGAAAGAGGCTGTGTCTCCTGTGCCTCCAGCAAATTGGCTTATGAACTGGGAAGTGTTGTAACCGTATTTTGGAGTTTGTATGCGCTGTCGGTTGAAGATGGGTGTCCCAAATTTTCAAATGATCCGTGAAACCCTCAGCTGTTTGTGAAAGCTCATATGCAGTAAAAGCGGAGGACAGGTATTAGATCGTTTTCTCTCTTCCAATATATGAACCTCGCTGTTACAATATCTCTGCTCAGAAGTGTTGGTAGTCAGATGAATAAATTTTACCAACAATTTCTGCAGTCAAGGCACTCTCCTAAATTATTCAGGTATTGCAGAATGTTGTAAAAGGCCGAATACGTCATGATTTCGCTCGTATCATCCTAAGGAGTCCAGACGTATAAGCCCTCTGTGGTAATATGGCACCATGGACGGAGATGCGAAGTGCTGCTATTGTATATCGTTAAGCTCCATGCGACTTGCACTGGTTCCTGACTGGAAGAGTTCTGCTCAAAGTGAGGGATCTCGGTTGTTTGAGCTTCCTCACGCCAAAGTTTCTCCTACTTTTCAATCAGAAGGGGATGGCGGCGTAGAAGTGACCGTTGTAGCTATCATGATGGTTTGAGGGATAGAGGGGAGGGTTGAGTTGATGGTGTGTGTGATGATGAGTGAGCGACGGTGACTGTCACCACCCTACATCAGCCGTGCGAGTGCAGGGTGCTCATCGTTTTTGAACTTTTGCGCCTAGGCCTTGGGGCCCTCTCCTCTTCTCTTGGTTTCACCGTCAGTGGCTGCTGAGGTCTTTTCAGCTTACCTGCTCACGGCCCCCTTGTAGTGATTGTCTATTTGAGGGTGCTCCCGCAAGCCGTGAGCTTGTTTCTTCGAGGGAGCAATGCACCTGCTGATACGATCGATGAGCGTAATGTAGCTTCCATCTTTACAGTTACCTATGAATAAGTATTGGGCTTTGTTCCAATGGTGTAGCGAAAGACTTGATGGGTGGAGAAAAAGGGAAGAGGAGTGAAAAATTCTCATGAGGGATAAAAGCGTTAATAGTGACAATTTGAGGTGAGCGTGGTCCGTAACGTGGGGGATAGGATGGACAGTAGATGAACGGACAAGGATACGTTCATGGCCACCAGTATTCATTGTTAGTAAACCGTATGTGCTCAAGTACTTGTCAGACATTCACCCGAAGGAGTCAACTGACGTGACTGCCACCACTTCTTTCGACTAGTCGTTCCGTAACTGATGCTCTATGTGGGGGATGTTAGGCCTGACTCGTATCTAAGTCCTCTGGTAAGGTGCATGAATGAGGTCCCTACGAGAATTTCGGTATTGGATCGATAATGTTGTCCCGCTAAGGTGGTTCACTTGGTGCACAATCTTGCAGGTTGTACCCAGGTCACCTCTCATCAGTTGGTGGCCTAAGAAGAGGGGGCCGAGTTGTATGAACTGTCGTGTGCATGTTTTTCCTGTTGGTCTAACAACTGAATTTGTCGCTCCGTTTCGCATCTTCTGGAAAGTGTTTGAGTCTCCCTTCAGCAGAGAGGGTGGGCCATCGTATTGTGAACCCGTGAGTGCAGTCAATGCAGCTCTCGAAGATTATGAGGAAAAGCTTGGAGGTATGGGACCTGAGTTCCTTTCTTAAAAAGTGCGTGAATACTTCGCTTTTACTGCTGTTTCTTTAGAGTTGGCCTTAATATCTAGTTTGTCGAAGAGGTTTGGTCTGACTTGCTGTTTCAGCGTACAACTTCTAAGGGAGTCTCTAGTTTTCATTGTCCTCTGTGTCGGAAGGTACATCACCCTGAAGGTCTCTAGGTTGAAGCCCAGGGCATTCTCATCCGTCCAGCATCCCATCTACGTTAAACACCTTGCAGTATCCTAGGGTCCTCTTGCTTATCAGTGGTCCTACATATTTTGATGTCATCAGCAAACAGATGAAGAAAATGGAGGCTTTCACAGGTA